CTCCTCTGAGGAGCCGCCACTGGTATTCAGTTACAATACTGCATAGTCAATTATAGAGTTGAAAGTAGGTAGATATCAGAAGTGTGAAGTGCATGATATAGGTGCACTATATAAATTGAAACAACAAATAAAACGAGAGCGGTCCTAGATCTGATTCTTCGTTTTCCTACTGGATTTGAAATGGACATCCATGAGATATCCATCGAAGGATTTGTTATGGATATCTTATGGGTATCAATGAGATATTCACAGCAATCACGAATGAGTTCAATCCGCAAGATTGTTTTTCATAGTGTCAATTTCTCTTTTTTGTGTCCGAACATGGATTGAACCTTTAGGAAATAGAACTGATTCTTCGTTTTCCTACTGGATTTGAAATGGACATCCATGAGATATCCATTGAAGGATTTGAAATGGATATCATTCAGTAGATATCTTATGGATATCCATAAGATATTCACAGCAAAAGCTGATGAAAGTAATGGATGTAATTGTCCAGAAACGTCAATTTCTTTATTGAGAAAAGGAAGAAGCTCATGATCATTCGTATAAAATTTCCTTCTATACAATCCCAAGGATTTCAATCGTCTTTGTAATGTTCTTCTGCTGATGTCGTTGTTATGTACTAACTGCAAACATTGTAATATTTCATGGTAATTCAAACCAAGGAAGAAATATCTCTTTATTAGTTCATTGGTATATATTAGTGTTCTCCATTTAACACATAAATAGGTCTACTAGGTGAGGTGAGAAACTTTCGCAAAGCACAACCACTTTATAACTGAATGCAAACATATACAATGTTGTTATCATGTAGGTAACAAATTCGAGAAAAAACGCTCTGCGATTAACTTAGATCAGTTTGATTCGCGGCACGTTTGGATATTCGCAACAAGGACATTTTTCCTTTCATTTGTTTCTTGTTTCAACTCTTTATCACATGACAGAAGTATGTCCGGAATAATAGCAGCAAATAAATCGCTGTGCCGTAGATTTGACTAGACTGAGGGGTGGCACAGGTAAGTTATTGAAATCTACAATTCAATTGGTATCAGATGGCATAATTATTATCTTAATATCAAATCATTTTCTTTTTTTTTTCGAAAATCTTCGGTAGTACGGAGTAGGTACATATATTATATACTTACCTATTCGGAGATTTTTGAATTTTGTTATGTGTAAAATTGCGCAACTTTAACACCATTATTTAACCTTCTCTGTAGCTCTCACCCCATTCCCCATATGTATCTCATCTACTCGAATTTGTATAATATACAGCATGATGGTAGAACAAGAATAGGTTATATAAGAAGGTACATATTATACATCAAAAGAAAATAAGTGATGTGTTATTCGCGTCATATGAGATGCTCCACCCTGTATAGGTAGATTTAACGACTTCCATGTTCCATACCATATATACCTCAACTCAACTCTTTATCACATGACAGAAGTATGTCCGGAATAATAGCAGCAAATAAATCGCTGTGCCGTCTCGGCCGTAGATTTGACTCAGACTGAGGGGTGGCACAGGTAAGTTATTGAAATCTACAATTCAATTGGTATCAGATGGCATAATTATTATCTTAATATCAAATCGCGAGTGCAATGCATTGATGAAATCAGCTCTTCAGGAAAAATTTAAATATGCAATAATATAAAGGCTGTCCCATTTAGAAACACCCATCATCAGCCGATATCTTGGAATTCGAACATCGTATAGATATGAAAATAATTTGAGGTGATAGCTCTCATAAGATTCTATAACTGTTGTATTCGAATTTTTTTTATATATATACCTGGCGGTTTGGCTAATATTGAAGAACACACTATTGACTCACCCTGTATATATAAAGAAATACATTGAGAATTCGCATTCTCCATGTGATGAAAATATTAATTCTTTCTCGGTTTATTCAACAGAAAACAACTACTTTCCTGGCTATATGTCACGACAAACATTGATCATCTATTGACCACACACGATCAGAATTTGAAAACAAAATCTTCTGAAGTAGAGAATTCGCATTCTTCTTCATATAAAGATATGCACTTCGATATGCACATAATATCATTCTGAACTCGATTCTGAATATTCAACAGAAAACAACTACTTTCCTGGCTATTTGCGAGGCTATTTGTCACGTCGAACATTGAAAGAAAAATCATTTCAGCCGGTTCTTGGACTAATATCATCATTATACATATACTTATATTTATTTCTAGTTATTATCGGCGAAGTTAACAGTTATCGATTATTATGTAAACATTGGTAATAAAATAAACAACCAAACCCATATAGTAAACAATAGTATAAAGACGTATAAAGGCTCGTATCGAGGCTCGTATAAAGGCGAGTATAAAGTATAAAGGGCATTCGTAAAGTACTGATTAAATTCATTTTTAGCCAAATTATCCATCTTTGAGGAATATCCTGGAACAGGTCGATTTTTATTTTCAATTTGCCACATTTATGAGGAAAATTAAATATACAGGGTGATCCACGTTTGAGTTATGACGACAACGACATTTTTTTTAATGGAACTCCCTATAGGAGACCCTATACTACTCAATTTTCGGAATAACCATGGTAAGGTACGCTACCTACTAAATACATTTGAAAGAAAGACAAAATAAATATTGAATTAAGTTCGAGTCATTTTATTGATTGTAGCGGACCCGGCAAACGTTGTTTTGATACGAGTTTTGCTATGTAGGTACATTATTTCAAAAAAATATTTTTTTTATTTGAATATTTGACAGCACACTTTGATCATTTTATTTTCTAGTTCTGTTTAGTTTGACTAACCATAAAATAGTGTTTTCTTAATTTTTCAAACTACTATTCATTTTCTATATCCTTTCAGTTCGGTAATCTATCTCTTTAGTTTCTTTTCAGTTTGGCTCGCAGTTTGGCTATCTATAAAAGCGTATTTCATTAGTTTTTCGAAACACTTTATTACGAATGAGATTATAAAGCTCGTTCGACATATTGAATCGGCCATCCTGAATTTTCAAACCACCAGACTGGATCTGCCATCTTGAATTTCCAAAATTTGGTGAAAGAATCATTATCTCCGAACCCGAAAATCCCCAGATACCAATTTTGAACAGAATATCGGATCATGATTACAAAAGTCGTTCGCGATGTTGGGTCCGCCGTATTGAATTTTCCAATTTTGACAAAAAATCATAATCTTCGACCCCAAAATCTCCCAGATACCAATTTTGAATAGAATCGGATCATAATTACATTACTTGTTCGCCATATTGGATCCGCCATCTTGAATTTTCCAATTTTGACAAAAGAAATCATAATCTTCGACTCCAAAAACTTCCAGATTCCAATTTTAAATATATCCGGATTATAATTACAAAACAAGTCCGCCATATTGGATCCGCCATCTTGAATTTTTCAATTTTGACGAAAGAATCATAATCTCCGACCGGAAAAACCCCCAGATACCAATTTTGAATGGAATCGAATAATAATTACAAAGCTCGTCCGCTATATTGGATCTGCCATCTTTGATTTCCTAATTTTTTTCTCTCATAGGAACCTTCTCCTGACAATACATCCATGAGACAATAACATACACGAGCAAAAAAAGATTTAGTGAAATCGGTCAAGCCGTTTAATTTCTTAATATTTTCTTTCGTAGGAACCGAGGTAGGAACCCTATTTCTATTTTCTTCTGACTATATTTGAATAGATTTACCAAAATAAATCACACATTCTCATTGCTACTTTTTCTGTTCTACAATATGGTATTATCAGATTTTCAAACCGACGTTTCGTCATTAAGCTACCATCATCAACTTTGTTTTTTAAATACGGCCCTAGATTTTTTATAATGGGTTTTGAGAACTTTTAATAGTTTTAATGTCCTCCAATCAACGGTGTATCGAAGAAGTTTTTAATCCTATCAAAAATGTTTTCTCGGTCGTCATCATTCACACATGAGTTCTTATCTCGAGTTCTTATGGATAATGCCATTAATATGAATTTTTCGAATTAGTGCGATACATCGTTGATTGAGGGAGAATAAAAACTATGTAAATCCTGAGTAAAATTCATAATAATCCGTATTTAAAAGAACAAAGTTGATGATGGCAGCTCAAAGACGAAACATCGGTTTGAAATTCTAATAACACCGTCTTGTAAAAGTGAAAAAGTAGCAATTAGAATGTGTGATTTTTTTCGTTACATATATTCTCGCATATATTCAAATAAGCAAATAAGTAAGTATATTCCGAAAAATAAAAATAGAATCACGAATATTGATTTTCTTTTTTTTCGAAAATCTTCGGTAGTAGGGAGTAGGTACATATATTATACACTTACCTATACGGAGTTTTTTGAATTTTGTTATGTGTAAAATTGCGCAACTTCAACACCATTATATTTAACCTTCTCTGTAGCTCTCACCCCATTCCCCATATGTATCTCATCTACTCGAATTTGTATAATATACAGCATGATGGTAGAACAAGAATAGGTTATATAAGAAGGTACATATACATCAAAAGAAAATAAGCGAAAATAAGTGATCTATTATTCGCGTCATATGAGATGCTCCACCCTGTATAGGTAGATTTAACGACTTCCATACCATATATACCTATCTATTTCAATTTGAATAAAATCGAAATCCGCGTTGCCATCAAAAAGATGAAATTATTCAAAAAGTAAAAGTGAAAAAGTAGTCAACTAGCCAGAATCAGAAACATACATTATGCGAACGACTGATGTGAGTATACCTACCTACTTTATATCTTAAATCTGGTAAAACTGCTTTTCTTTATCGGTTTACCTGTGTGTATAAGAATGTAGGACGAGAAATTAATACAATAAACTCATCATCAATAAAACTTTCCAATGAGAAAAAGTAAAAGTTATTTATGTAAATAACAAAACGTACCTACCTACTCTCAATATCAAACGAGATCCTCCCTACTCTTTCCTTAAAAAAAGTGTTTTTTTTTTAATTTAGGCATAGAAAAAAATAGATAGGTACCTAGGTAAAAATATAAAAAATTACTAACCTGTCCTGTGTCCTGTGTAAATGTCCTGATAGGTGCTAGAAATCCAAATTTTGCACGCACACACGTCGTTTTTTTAATCAAAAATTGCGACTGTCCCCACTGGCACAGTTTCTCGTGCACCCGAGCACAAATTCTACTAGAACCTATGGAAGCCATCTCCAAGACTATTGTGACTTGACAATCGAGGAATCGGCTCGCCGCATATCACCTTTCCAACCAACGTCTCGCGGGGCCGCGATCTGCCAGTACCCCCAGTCCCCACGAACAGCTGATTAGCGTCTTGATAGCTCCTTCCTTCCCTTCAATCCCTTCTTCCTTCTCAGTTCTTTCTAACCTCCAAACTTTGTCATCAAATCGAAATGTCTGTTTCGCTTTTAACGCGTGTGAATTTCGTAGTTAATAGGCTCAAACAATCATTGATCAATACATTTGGGCACAGATATCCACCAGGTAATTAATTGGAATTATATAACATTATATCATCACACTTTTTGATCAGTTTGACAATTCTAACCTCACTTTTTGACAGACGGACTTTGTCTTGCTGGGATAGAAATCAATCATTTACCACAAAACGCCCCCAGCAGTCCGAAATGGTCTTTGAAGGAAATAATCTCGGAAGGTTTCCTCTGGGCTGTTCCAAAACATAGAAGATCCATAGAGAAGAGAATGAAAAGGAAGTATGGTTCCCCAGAGTATGTTCTCAAAATATTAACTCCCAGAACAGACTTGAAGACATGTAACGTTTGTGGGGACGACCACGAAGCTGGAGTTTTATGCCGTGAGTAAAAAAGTCCTCCACCTACCTAGGCACCAATGTCCATATTTTTGTTGTAGCAACTTGCTATAAAAGAGTCATAGAAGAAACCAAAGCTATGCAAGAAGCAATACAGAGTGAGTTGAAATTGGAGCCAGTGGAGAAGGAAGTGGTGGTACTCTATGAAGGTGAAAAGAATAACAAACCTGAAGAGTTCTTTGAAGGAAAGAGGATAGTGGAGATGCAAAAGCAGAGACCAGCATGGTTTAGTAAGAATTTGTTACAGCAGACCACACAAAAAGGTGCAACTACCACTGAAGTCAAACCTACTGATCTAGGATAAAAAAATCATCATTATTATTATCATGGAGTGAAGAAAAATGTTGTAGTTCTCACTGTACTCTGTGAAGGTATTTGTACCATACAAGTATACATGCTAACCATTGGCAAACAGAAGTGAAAACATCAATAAATGTATAATTTATATGCTGTATATCATATTATTATTCATGCTTACATTCACATTTCTCACAATATTCTAATTCATTCAACATCTTCATGAATTCATTTATCTCTATATTGTGGCAATCTCTAAACACACCAGTTCCCCTGAAAACAACTGGACTACACTTCAAGTTTATGGCAGTTTGAAATCTCACCTGCATACATTTCTAATCAAATCATTTGTTTTATTGATATAATTGTTACTGATATGTTTCAAATCCATATATGATGTGTAAAGATGGCACATTTCTCTCAGCCTGAAATTGAATATGAAATAATCCACCCTATTGCCAAAAAATATTTACTTTTTTGTCCAATTTCCATCCATTCTTGTGTTAATGTGTTCAGTGCACTTCAATTTATTTGTAATCATATTATCATCATTGTATTTCCTCAAATCAAAGCTGAAATAATGAAATATTTTGTATTTATAGGAAATGAATACTTACCAAACAATATTAACTTCCTAAATCCATTATTACACAAATTATTTATGTCTTTAAGAAGAGCTTCATTTGTGAAATCTTGTCCTCTTTCATTGATAATCATTTCATTCATAGTATCTCCTATAGTTTTTGCCAACTGAAAAAACTTTATTAAAAAATCATCAATGTTTTCTGAAATCCAAATCCTCTACCTGATCAGCAACTGCTAGGCAAGCTGAACACTTCAAACAGAATGATCCAAATGGTTTTTGTTGTACATAGTTCTCTAAATCTTTCTTGTAGGGATTGATTACTTTTTTTGGTGCAACTAAAGTGAAATTGCATTGATCATAGGTTACATACGTGTTCATTTCCATAAGATGAACATGATGAGGTAATATTGGATGAGGGGAAGTCATACAAGACATACAAAATGTAAAAATATTGAAAAAGTGTAAATAGAAAGTATACATTTTGGTATAAAATCAAACTGACAATTTTGAAACATCCCGCGAAAGAGATCACAGAATTTGACACGAGTATATGACAAATACCATAGGTTATATTTATTATATGACAGTTGAAAAGTGACAACTATTCCAACAGCAGTGGCACGAATTCAATCTGACCTCAAATGAGGCATCTAGAGACAGGGCGCAACAAATGATCCTGAAATGAAACATTGAAATGACTGAGATAAGCTTAGATCATACAGGTGATCTAAGGAGATAAGCATCTCAGAAATAACGAATGCCTATCGGTTTCAACATTGTCTCAACAGTAAATTAATGCCTTCACGTTATTTTTTCGATCAAACACTTCGAAAAAAAAAATGCCGTAGAGAAAAAATAATGCGAAACTTATCCTTCACTTTCCGTCCTTATAGATTCGAAAAGTACCTCTCATTATAGAAGATATATGTGTAAAGGATCTACACATAGATCAGTGATCTACACAGAGTGTGTCTATTAGGGGTGGGCAAATTTATCGATATATCGATAATAATTCAGATAAAAAATTATCGGTTCATCGAGAATATTGATAAAATATATTTATTGATATTATCAATACTATTGATAATATCGATAATTATAGTCCATTCCAACTAAGAAAACAGCATTGGAAGTCATAGGGGATCGTTAATCTTCGCTTTCATTGGTTAATATTGAAGGCAATAATACACTTGCTTTATATTATGACTTGACGTGGCGTAAACGTTGAAGTTTTTTTCTTGGGAAGATGGCAACCCTATAGTTAGACCAGGAAAAATATAGGCAACTCTACGTTTGCATATTTTAAAGGCTTTGTACTTGCGGTTGGTGTAGATTTTTTTCATTAAACACATCGGTGAATATTAAAAAAGAAGTGATTTTCGAACCTTCAATTAATTATAGCCTAGTCAGGAGTTTTTCAGGCAACCCATTGTTTTTATAATTTTTAAAATACACTTGATCTTATAAAACAATTTTCATCCATTACACAGATGGGTGAAGGTCGACCTTACTTAGGATCTTAGAAAAAAATCAAGTTTAGCAGGTAGCAGGTATTTAAGCACACTTGCGTTTTTTGCTCTCAATGTGGAAATTTACGACCAATTCTTATAATGACGGAAAAAAAGATCATATAGGAAGAGACCAAATGACACAAAAATAGGTATATTTATCAGTTGTGGACAATAAAATAATGTTAGCATTCATTCTGGTAGTTATTGGCCTCGTCTCTGAAAGAAGAACACCCTATTCACGGTAGTCAAGGTCATCATCTGACATTGAGATAACATTTAATGTCATCGCAATGTCAAATGATGACCTTGAATACCGCGAATCAATACTAATCATTGGTGTGCTACGACCTCCTTCCACTATGACTACGTCACTGAGAGTAAAACAATTGTTAGCAGTCTGAGCTCACAGTTATCAGTTCGCCCGAGTCGCCGTGATCATTTTGGTGCGAGTATATACTCGCAATGACGTCATGCGCAGAAAAGACGAATTCAAGATACCTGAATAGCACACCATATATTTTTCCACCATGATACTGATGAGAAATTCAATCTAGAATAAAAATGTACAGAAAGTTGTCAAATATGGTGTGAATCATCCCATCTGATAAGAACATTACAAGTCAGACCAAAAGAAAGTGTGTTAATTTTGATAAATGATACAACTAGAAATAATATTTTTCATTAATTTATTTAAAAAATGTCAATCTAAAGAATTAACGTATTCAAATAATACATGATGAGTGAACGTGATTATTCTCAAAAAGCGATAAATTAGTAACGTGATATTAATGTTGAGAGACTCAATCGTATAATTCTCCACTATCCATTGCCTGTTGGTAGTTCTTTCCTCCCTTCTGCTCGGCATCGAGTTTGATCATATCGTCGATTCTCAGAATTGTGATGGCGGCCTCGGTAGCGAATTTCAAAGACTTAATCTTCGATATTGTCGGCTCCAATACACCAGCTTTCCTATTATCTCTGACTGTGCCTATAAAATAAATTCATACAATAGACATTATTTTATTCACCGGTGGCTCCATCAATCCACCGTGTTCATATTTTCTTTGGTGGATTCCAGTTTGACGTAACCACGCGTTCATTTATTACTGTTGTGTCAACCAAAATTGCAAACCATTCCACCGATGTACAAAGATGGTGGACGAATTTTGGTCGCTTCCGAAATGACAGTGACAGCATAACCTCAAAAAACTAAAAACAAAATATTGGATTTGAAAGCTGTTTGCCATTTGACTAAGAAGAATATGAAAATAAAAGAATAGCTGCATTATTGTCACCAACAGATATTGAAAAAATTATAGTGGTAGGTACTTTTTTCAAGAAATTAGTGCGAACATTCAGGAACCTTGAGTACCAACAGAGAATTATTATTAATTACTTTATCCATATTATCATAATATTATTTATTTATTTATTTATTTCAGTTATTGCATTACATTCTTTTCTTCATTGATACATTTCATACAAATAATATATAAAGTATAATTAATTTTCTAGTAGGAATGACATGAATGATCAGACAGTAATTCCTGGTATAAGATCATTCATGAAGTATTATCGACTGTTGTATAATTGAAATTACAAATTGTGAACAAAACTTACATATCATTAAGATACAGTCATATTATAGTGAACGAAAAAAAAAGAAAAAAGGAAATTCATGGTCTTTCAGCTTTGATCATTCCTTTGCATATAAATATATTTCTTAACTTTATTTTTGAATTGCATAATATTTGGGCTGTTTTTGATATCATCTGGTAATTTATTGAATTTCGAAATCGCCTCATGTGTAAACTTTTTTTGCCCAAGTTTAGAATTTGCAGCTTCAAGATGAAACAAGTAATATTGTCTAGTGTGATGATCATGAATTTCAGAATTCCTGATTAATATAAAATTTGATTTAAGCTTTTTGTTGATAATATAATAGGAAATTTTGAGAGTATTGATTAAAAAGTGCTCTTCCAAAGAAAATGTGTTTGTTTCCTTATACAGTTGATTCGTATATAGGTTGTTGAGAATTTTCAGCCTATCTCGTTTACTTCCCAACATAAACAATATTTCATCCTGGGTACTATCAGAAGCACTGCTGGAACTTCTGGATCTGGAGACAAGGACTCCAATAATACTTTTAATACATCATTTTCCATTCAACATTAGTTTTTGCCAATTCTGAGCTTCAAATTGAAAACAATCTAAATCACCATCAAATCACGAACAGAAACATAAAAAAAGGAGAAAACAGTTGTGATTGTCATGTCAAATAACTGCGTTTTTTTTTTTCAACACTGATGACTTCAACAATTCGGTGCATCAGAGAGTGACGTCACTTCCATCAAAGATGAAAATGTGGTGTGAAAAAGAGCATACCTGTTTCAACTCATTCAAGGAAAAACACATCTGTACCTCAGAGGTAAACTGCACTAAATCCAATTATGTCAAAACTGACAGATTTGTACCAAGTAACTTACTTATCAGTTTCTTGTTCATCACAGAGGTGAGGTGTTCTTGTACATGAGATGACTGATAGGAATAATAGAATATTTTTAAAAAATCCCCTATTAATAATAAATGACCTAGGCGCACGCACGGATTTTGAATCTATCAATGAAATGTCGGTTGCCTAGGCTCCTGAAGAATATTTGGTATAGTTTGTGCAAATTCAGTTGGAAAAACACATCACCGCAAGCCGTCGGTCCCTTTGAACGTTCAAAGAGTGCGGCAGCGCGGCCCGACATACGTTTGTAGATCTGTTCAACTGACTTTGCATAAACTATATATAGAATTTAAAAGAGAGCATGGGAGGCGACATTGATTTGTTACACATACCTTCGATCAGATCCAAGCCGACGTACTTCAAATGCGCGTGATCCTTCTTGGTTTGGCTCGAGTTCTGGTACGCCCGCAACTTCGCCACCAGGTCAGTGGCGTCCTGCGCCGCGTTTACCGCCAGCGTCTTCGGTATCACCAGCAGACTCTTGGCGAACTCGGCGATGGCCAGCTGCTCCCTCGAGCTCAGCGTCGTCGCGAAGTTCTCCAGGTAGATCGAGAGGGCGGCCTCGACGGACCCGCCGCCAACGACCACGCTCTTCGATTCGAGCACGCGCTTGACGACGCAGAGAGCATCGTGCACGGAACGCTCCATCTCGTCGCAGTAGAAGTCGTTGGGGCCGCGCAGGATGATCGAGGCAGCCGTGCGGGCTTTGGGACTGTTCAAAACATGACAGGATTAACCTCAGACTAAATACTTAGCGCCAAACACGGATAAACGGATAAAATCGCGAATAGTGGGGATAATGCTCGTCGATTCAAGCATTCACTCGGGCACAGAGCGCTCCATTTCGTCGCAGTAGAAGTCGTTGGGGCCACGCAGGATGATCGAGGCAGCCGTGCGAGCTTTGGGACTGTTCAAACTATGACAGGATTAACCTCAGACTAAATAACCATATATAGACAACGCGATTCACTCATAGATCATAGGACAACAAGCCTTAGCGCCAAACACGGATGCCAATAGAGAAGAACTAATAGAAATGGAATAAACGAATAAAATCGCGAATGGTGGGGATAATGCTAGTCGATTCAAGCATTCACTCGAGCACGGAGCGCTCCATTTCGTCGCAGTAGAAGTCGTTGGGGCCGCGCAGGATGATCGAGGCAGCCGTGCGAGCTTTGGGACTGTTCAAAACATGACAGGATTAACATCAGACTAAATAACAATATAACACCGCGATTCACTCGTAGATCATAGGCCAACATGATTTAGCACCAAACACAGATAAACGGATGAAATCGCGAATGGTGTAATGCTCGTCGATTCAAGCATTCAACTCGGGCACGGAGAGCTCCATTTCGTCGCAGTAGAAGTCGTTGGGGCCACGCAGGATGATCGATGCAGCCGTGCGAGCTTTGGGACTGTTCAGAACATGACAGGATTAACCTCAGACTAAATAACAATATAACACCGCGATTCACTCATAGATCATAGGCCAACATGATTTAGCGCCAAACACGGATAAACAGATAAAATCGCGAATGGTGGGGATAATGCTCGTCGATTCAAGCATTCACTCGGGCACAGAGCGCTCCATTTCGTCGCAGTTGAAGTCGTTGGGGCCACGCAGGATGATCGATGCAGCCGTGCGAGCTTTGGGACTGTTCAAAACATGACAGGATTAACCTCAGACTAAATAACCATAGATAGACAACGCGATTCACTCATAGATCATAGGACAACAAGCCGTAGCGCCAAACACGGATGCCAATAGAGAAGAACTAATAGAAATTGAATAAACGAATGAAATCGCGAATGGTGGGGATGATGATAGTCGATTCAAGCATTCACTCGAGCACGGAGCGCTCCATTTCGTCGCAGTAGAAGTCGTTGGGGCCACGCAGGATGATCGAGGCAGCCGGGCGAGCTTTGGGACTGTTCAAAACATGAGAGGATTTACCTCAGACTAAATAACAATAGACACCGCGATTCACTCATAGACTATAGGCCAACAAGTCATAGCGCCAACAACGAATAAACGAATGAAATCGCGAATGGTGGTGATAATGCTCGTCGATTCAAGCATGCGCTAGACGACGCAGAGAGCGTCGTGTACGGAGCGCTCCATTAGGTCACAGTAGAAGTCGTTAGGGCCGCGCAGGATGATCGAGGCGGCCGTACGGACTTTGGGACTATTCTACTTGGTACTATATTCCAGATAAGAGTAAAGTGGAAGGCAAAGCCAGATATACACCAGTAAACTACTCGAATACAAATACTTAAGAATGATTCCCAAGTTTTATGATGAACCATATATAACCCAGAGTGCCTAGAAGATATTATATATCTCATTCAATACATTTTAGAGTGAGCACTTTTCTCATTCCATGGAAATATATGCAAAATAGTATATTATACACCTAGGGTGAGAAGTGACCTATTGACTGTCTGATTGTCTTTAATACCCTAAGAAACATATCTATTTATAATAGGGATAAATGGGTTCATAAAAAAATATTATTGATAATAAAAGGTTAACTAATGAATTCCACTCAGTGGGAACAAATTCATACTTTTCCTTAAGATGAACGTTATAACATTTCAATTCTGAGTAATCAAATCCAGCAAGATATTTCACAATCAAATTGTCCTGACCAGGTATTTTTCAATGTAATCATGTGAATTTTTCAATTTATTCGGTGATGAATGGTATAAAATTATTTTATTATGAAACACAGATTTTTTTGGCAATGTTCAACTTGAATGTATTTGCTATAAAGTAATTCAATTGTCTTGTCCCATAACCATAGACTGTATTGACTTCATTGAAAGCTAAGTTTGATATTTTAAATTCATTCCTGACAAAATTAATAAAACAACATATTTTGAGTTTATATTCGCGATAGGAAATAAGCGTACGCCGCCTATCGGAGTTCTTGAAAGCTGTGAAAGTGGACTGTTTACTTTGTTTTCATTGGTTCACATTTGTTTTTAATTTGTGCTTATTGGTCATAGTATCAAAACAAACCGCTCAGAAGTGTTCCAGTTGTTTCCGTCAGATGGGGCGACGTGTTATTTTCTATCGCGAATAACGAAATCAGATTTAGAAATTGCCTAAGTGTATAAATATACTGTTGGTTCTAAAACATTTTGATGAAAAATGCACTAAATTGATTTGTTTTGTAATTTCATTAGTGGTTGTAGGCGTGAAATGTTTGTGCCCCCAGTCCCCAAAAAAAAACTATATATTGTTAATTTAAATATATGAGGCAAAAGAAAATACAGATCAGGTATTTTACAGGAATGATATTTTTTATAAAATGCCTATCATTGGATTCATTTCATTTCCCAAATGGTCCATATGTTTAGTCCACAATAATTTCTTATCAATATAGAGACCTAAACATTTTGTTACGTCTGTATATTTAATGAATATCTTGTTGAAAGTTATTGCATTATATATTATACAGCAAGCACTTTTATATACAGAGGTGCGGTGCATGTTTTTTTTTAAGTTCTGGTTCCCACGAAACGGGATATCCTGTAATGGTCAGAAAACATCGTGTGAACCAAGGGAAATGAGGTAGGAATTGGTGTTCTGTGATGTAAGTGAGTGATTAGATAAATGACCATAGAACATCGACTAATCCCAAACACTCACCCCTTGATGATGATCAACTCGTCATCCGAAATCCTGTCCTGCACCACCTCGGCAGCCTCCCCCACCATGCCGGCGTCGAACGTCTCCTCGCCCTCCATGTTGGTCAGCGAGGTGAGGAAGGCCGCCCCCGTCGCCTTCGCGATCCTCTTCAGATCGGACTTTTTCACTCTGCGCACCCCCATCGCCCCCGCCTCCACGAAATACTTGAGGCACAGGTCGTCGATGCCTCCCGAGACCAGAACGACGTTGACGCCGGTCGAGAGGATCTTCTGGATGCGCTCCTTGGTGATGTCGAGCTCGCGCGTGCGGATCGATTCCAGTTGGTCGGGATCGGTGATCAGAACCTGGCGAAGTTCGATATATTTCTCACAGATCTTATAGAAATTCTCACCATAACAAATTGACGCTCAGTTTTGGTTTTTGTGGCGGGAACGAGAACTTGCTTCTGACTGGAAGTTATATTTTTAATGAATAAATAAATAATTCATATCATGACCATTTCCGAACTAGATCAACTAGAACAATTACTGAGAAGTTTTGAGGCGGCAAAACATGACGTAATCGATGCATCTAAATACATAGTATGAATATAATCACGATAAGTTTCGCTAGTCGTAATTAAACATCCGAACAAACATGAACCGAAAACAAAAAGAAAATCAGAAGAAGAATGCATGTACTTCTGGGTTAGATGAATGCAAAAACTTGGCGTGAGAATAGGTCGCGTGCACGATGACTGACCCTGGAGGTAAAATATTGAAACACAACCTCACTTTTCTGTAAAACATTGAAACACAAACTCACTTTTTCAATAGTTTACAGAGGAATCAAAGGATTGAAATAGTTTTTCACAATATTTTGGCATACGAATCGTGTTTTATGCGCTATTCATTAATTCAAGCATGTCTTCTCTTTGTGCTGTTGTAGAATGCACAAAAAATGCAGCGAGAGACGAAGGCTTATGATTTCTTTAGGTAATTAGTAATCTCACATAGTTTACATTAAAAAAAAAATGTCTACACACACGATCATATTTTGTCAGCATGTCAGACCAGTCCTCCCGTTTGATTGCGTGAATCCTTAACATTGTCCTGAGCAAGTATTTTTTAAGATTGGTGATGCCGAGCTCGCGCGTGCTGATCGATTCCAGTTGGTCGGGATCGGTGAAGTTCGATATATTTCTCACAGAAATTATCATAAGTAATATCACGATACTATAAATATTCGAGATAATTGCCGTGCAGCAATGCTCAGCATCACACTTTTTAAAACAATGAAGCGACAAAAGGACAATATTCAGAACAGACTATATTTCGCGTTCACGAAGCATAAAAAGTTATTTATTATACAAGATTTTTTTGCATGGAAACTATTCATTATCGGTGAAAAGAGCTTCCATGTCCCTATCTTACTGACATTTAATTGGAACAAATACAGGGTGGTTCAAGATTCAGAATTCTGATCACCCTGTACCTGTTCCAATGAAGTCAGTAGATTGTAAATCAAAAGTTGAGATAGGGACATAGAAGCCTTTTCAACGCTAATCGTGAAAAATCCTGTATATTTTGATGTTGAAAAATGATACATAAAAGAATCAGAAGCATTTTTTTCTCAAAGAAAAAACAGCAAAACACAAAGTCAGTCGACCTCAAAAATTTTATTAACAAATCATGTTTGTGACCAGTTTCGGCGCAACGGACATCTTCAGACACATAAAAATCAGTGGCGGCTCCTCAGAGGAGGCAGAGGAGGCTGAGCCTCCTCAGAGATTTTCCTTAAACTGATATTATCTATACTTTCTCATTAAAAGGACACCAAAATACATAGATTTTGATTTTATTTCCTGTTTTTAGGTAAATATTTTTGAATTGGCAACAGTGCTTGCCCACGCATCACACGTTGATGCTGTAAATCACGCGTAAAATATTCAACTTGGCAACATCTATAGGAGGCTAGACTCCGTCACATTGCGCAACCAACGCGCGCATCGCGCAATGTAAATCACATGTAAATCCCCGAATAGCACGTGTTTGTTGTCGTGTCGCGACGCGAATTGCGGACAGTCGAGCGCGAATGCAGTGTTTATGTTTATGTTAGGTTATTGGTTAGGGGCTCTATAAATTTCGGAAAAATGAGTGTCTTAAAAACGATTGCGATTTAGTGGAATACTTTTTGGTGAACCCATTCAGTGCCTTGTCCTATGAAGATAAATTGATTGTGAAAAACAAACGTCCGACACCGACATTAAAAAATCTGATTGTAACAGGTAACAAACAAAATCGTTCATTCAATTCTGATAATTATAAAAAATATATCTGGCTGACGGGATCTGAGGTAAGGAATAAGCTATTTTGTTGGTACTGCGTATTATTTTCAACCGATAAATCATCATGTTGGGGACGATTAGGATATAATGATTTGAAAAATTTGCCTCGCGGATTGGATAGACACTGCAAATCACAGGAACACATCTCTTCAAATATTAAATTCAGGTTAACTGGTAAACAGAATGTCATTAAAGCTATTGATTTGGGTGAGTAGAGAGTTGTTTTTCACAATAAATCTCATCATTCAGCCTCCTCTGTCATGAAAGTCACGAGCCGCCACTGATAAAAATACCTAAGGTGACATTTTCAGCGCCGTCCTTTAGGGGCCCATGTCTGCGTAAAGAGTGCTTTTTTTGTGAAAACTTTTTTGAAAATGCACGAACCTCTGCACGAACGCACTTACTAACTTTAATTGAACGCCCAACAACAAAAACTTGACCTGATCGGAAGTAAACACTCAGGTTAGGCAGTTAACATATATTTAATGACAAAAAATTATATCATATATCTTCTATTACCCACTTATAAGGTTCAAATACTGTCAGGCATGAATTATCATTTTATGCAAGAATTTTCAATTTTTCTAATGGAATTCAGAAACGTGCCGAGATATAGTATCGTAATTTTTTAAGAGTTAAAAATGTTGTAATTTCACTGGGTGCATCTGAATATTTAATAAAAAACTGCAAAGTGCGATACAGTGATATTTTTTGCTTGCTGCGTACGCCCCTGGAAATTCTGAATCAAATGTAATTGGTCTATTGTAGATGTCTAATGCTTGTTTGAAAGAAAATAAAAAAATACCCAACACCCAGTAACTTGGAAAAGAAGCATTTCTGACCGATGTTGAATATGAACTTTTTTCCATAGTTTGCTGAGCAAAATCTCCCCAACACTTTTTCGCACAACAACTCTGAAACACCCTGTATATTATGATAAGTGGATGGGACATGGTAGTAATGAACACGTGACATGGTATGAACCTAGTATGAACTATAAATAATACAAATCGAACTTGATATAAAGCTATAAAGTATGTTGATCATTTTATGCAAACAATGTTCATTTCATTGATATGACTTTTTGAAACACCCTGTAGAAAAATCACACCACCAACTGATGAGTGTTTCAAGTTAAAGTTATATTGTTCCATGAGTTTTGAGTCATAATTCTTGATGATGTCATTGTCAGTTTGATCAATACAAACAAACCCACGTCTCCACCAAAACGTATTCCAAACATGGAAGTCAATAAATTGAATATTATTCAGCAAGGCCTGGAAAAATCGGTCAACTCTACTTTAGCGCAGCTGAAAAAGTATCAGGACCATGAAGAAATCTCAAACTTGATAACCGAATTGAATAAAGAAAGGAATAACAATAGAGAAACATTACTGAGCACTCTGAAGGAAACAGTAGGTTTGGTGAAGAACAAAACACAATTACTGAGGCACAATAAAATCTTGGATATAACAGACTTGAGGCAGTTCAAGAACCAGATGATACTCATCCAAGAAAACATAAGAAACCTCAAATCTGAATCCAGAGCCAAATTAACCCAACTGAAAGATGAATATGCTGATTTGACTGAAGACCTAGATTACTACAGTGAGAAAATACCAATATGGTCAGAAAAGATGAGAGATCAAATTTATACAGAAACCATGAAAACACCTCTGACATGTAAAGGTCCAAAGTGCAAGGAAGTCAGAGATTTTATAGAGTTTGTTCACAAGAGTAAAGGCCATGAAAATGGTTGGAGAAAAGAAGATCATCAATTATTTCTGAAAATACGCCAAAAACACAAACATATCGACACTTTGGCCAAACATTTACACGAGGCTTTACCAGATATAAGTATCAATGAAATAGAATGCCACGAAAAATGGTACAAAGAATATTTGTCTCTTCAACTGAATAAACGAAAAGCAATTAAAGCTTGGAAGACTGCAAAAAACTCGGCAACAAGAACGAAAACTAACCATATCTCTGCCACAAATTCCCTTGAGCAACTTTGTGATCCACCAAACACTGGGATAGTATCTAGACCACATGAATACATTAAGAAAATGCTTATGGAGTGGAAATTAGAAAAACAAGAAAAGTTACAAAATGCCTTGCAAATAGAGCAGACCAAAGAACAAAGAAGAAAAGAGATAGCAGCAGCACAAAGAAAACAACATGAGGAGCTGAAACAGTTAGTTGAAAACTGGAAAAAAACAAGAACAGAAATTGAAGAACAAGAAATATTACAAAGAAAAGCATTGGAGGAGAAAGAAAAGCGGAGAAGAGCTGCTGAAGCCAACAGGATGATCAAACAATTTCAAATTCAAGATGACCTGTACATCTTGAAGAAACAGACCAAAAAGACAGAAGAGCTGAAACCATTAAGAAGCAAATCTAGTCAGCTGGCTAAAAGAGACCCAATGAGACTACTCAAACCTACTCAACAGTGGATAAATAGGGTTCATGATGAGAACAATTACCTAACAGAAAGTGTATCCCTTTCCTTGAAAAATGTTCAAAAACTTAGAATACCTGAATGGAGAAAAAAGACTGACTAAATGTAGCCTTTAATATTTATCATAATTTGAATAACAAACTGTTTTTATTCTTGAAATTGAATAAAATTAAAACCAATTCAATATGGTTCCAATTCCATTTTAACATACACAAAAATGATGAGTATATCATCAGGTATATTATAATGGAATTCAGTGTTACTATTGTCATTTTATCATTCCTATTAGAACAGCTATTGATCATTCTTTCAAACAGAAAGGAAAAAAAGCTAAAAATCTAAAATAATGGGTATTTTTCTAGTACATATTTAGCTTTAATCACTTAATCATTGATTTTTTGCACTGCTCCTGTATCATCATATTAAGAAACAGTAAAATTTGTTTCCACTGAGTGGAATGCTTTAGGTAACTTGGTAACTTTATATTATAATCTTCAAATGATTTATTGATATTTGATCATGCTTCCCTATTATAAACAATGATTATGATTCTTATGGTAATTAAGACAATCACTGGATAATATCAGGACTCAAGCATAAATACTAATATTTTATTTAAAGAAACAAGGATGGAAAATTCCAAGAAATCTCAAACTCCTGGGTTAGCCTTCATACAATATTTAAATAACTTTCCACTTGCTCTTCTTATTGTTGTTTTTAGATCTATTTGTATCAGTTGAACAAAATGAGAACATGAAATAGAATAATATATAACATAATTGTGTAATGAAGTAATTGTCACTCTGGAAGAATCTAATTTTCCATTTGGAGGCATTTGACCAACAAATATTTTGCCTGCAATGCATCTCAAACCATACAGAGTTGGTTTCTTGCCCCCCTCCTATGAAGCCAATGGTAGGCAACCAAATTTTTCAACCTTATTTTATGAATACAAATTACAAAGATAAATTATAGCCTGTATATATTTCTGGAAGTGTCTTGTTCCACAATATTCTGTATATGAACTGCAATTCAAAATAGGCAAAACAGGACATTTTAATAGACTTCATATCATCAAGTAGCTGTCCTGAATTACAATCTTGATACAGAATATTGCACAATACATAAATTCAAAAATGAATTGAATAAGTTTTCATTATTAATATATTTTACTAGTTCATTGAATTTCTAGTGAAATGATAAAGTTGTAAAAAAAGCAGTAAGTTTCTCAGAGTTGAAGTTTTGTTATTTCTAAAAGAAGTAGGTATCTTACCTGAACTCCCATCTTCATCTTGGCTTTCTGCAGGGAGAAGTCAAGGCATGCAATTTTTGCATTGACAATTTTCTTGGGCATTGCCTGACTAGCTACAGTACAATTCAAAGCATAACCTTGTACAAGGAAACTTTCTCTTGCACTTTTACCATGTGCTTTAAGGATGTTGACAGCTTTGATTGGATACAAAGCATTTCCTCTAGCATCTGTTACTTTGATGGCATTAGCAGCATCAACAACCATAGCAGAAAATAATTCAGCATCACTATCTAATTATTAAGGAATTTGAATCAACTCCTTAGGTAATTATTATTTGAAGAACCAGTTCAATAAATTTTCAATGAATGGTCAATATTAGATATTAAAATCAACTTGGATAAAAGGATACGCTCCAATGATTTTTGAACTCATTGATGTTTTAGCAATATTCACAACACATTCCTTTCCTAATTCTTCAACAGAAATGGTGAGGTGATCTTGAATATACCTACAAGCTTCTTTACAAGCTAACCTATATCCACTAATGATGGATGTGGGATGAATTTTTTGTCTCACCAGTTCATCTGCATTCTAAAAATATGTATTAGATCAGTTACAATCCATTATTCTCATTGTTCTGGATAAAACAAACTTTCAGCAATTCTGCAGCAATTATGACAACAGAAGTAGTGCCATCACCAACTTCTTCATCTTGTAATTGTGCTAACTCTACTAATACTCTGGCGGCAGGATGTTCCACTTCCAACAAACGTAAAATAGTGGCCCCATCATTTGTGACTGTTACATCTCCAATATCATCTACCAACATCTTGTCTAGCCCCACAGGACCTAATGAACTTTTTACTACATTTGCGATTGTAGATGCTGCCATTACTGAAAGAGAAATAATATAGAATAGAGGGGTTTTTCTGCATCACCACACCTTCCTAAACAGGGTCCATGCTTTATCTTAGGCCGGGTATTTGATGAGAGAACTAGTATTAATAATAGCCATGAGATACTCACCATTTTGATTGCGTACTGAGCTACCAGTAGTTCTAGATCCAGCAACTGATAATGGGCTCGCTAAAATCGACATTTTATTAATTATTCTTTTAGACACCCACAAGAAATGTAACCTATCCTTCGCGAGAATAAAAAAATTCTCACGTTCTTTCAAATGACTGAAATGACATTATTGACAATTAAACGAATTGACTATTGACAGTATTGACAGCACGACAACACCACCGTAAAGCAGCGTTCACAACCGAACTTTTTACGTTTTGCTTTTTAAGTTTCGTATTCTGATTGGTGAAGCAGAATCTGAAATTGAAGGTCCATCCCCAATCAATTCAGTGGCGAAGTGACACTTACAGAGGAATCAAAGGATTGAAATATTTTTTCACAATATTTTGGCATACTAATCGTGTTTTGTGCGCTATTCATTAATTCAAGCATGCCTTCGCATTGTACTGTTGTACAATGTACAAAAAATGCAGCGAGAGACGAAGGAATATGATCTTTGAGGTAAATAGTAATCTCACATAGTTATCATTATGCATAGATAATTATACAGCAGCGTGCTGTATAATCATCTATATCATTATGAAATGTTGTCATTCCTTATTTAAATTCTTTCTGCCACTCCTGCAATACAAGATAATACTGCTAATAGATTGTAAATGTCTACAACACACACTATCATAATATTTCGTTAGCATGTCAGACCAGTCCTCCCGTTTGGTTGCATTAATCCAATCTTCTTGCATTATTTTAGAAATTTCACGTGAATTTCTATTAGCTTCTATTGCAGAAGGAATTCCGATGAGGAATCAGAGAAATTACCAAATTCCAAAACTGAAAACTGTACAGTATGTGAGTGACTATAGTAGGTTCTTACTTTTAAATCATAATGTACCAACCGGATTCCTTCGTCTTCCACTGCAGTTTTTGTGCATTGTATAACAGCACAATGTGATGGCATGAGCGAATTAATGAATAGCCGAAAAATATGATTCGTATGCCAAACAAATTGTGAAAAACTATTTCAATCACTTGTAAACAAATGAGAAAAGTGAGGCTGTGTTTCAATGTTGTGCCTCCAGGGTCGGTCATCTGACAGTTCTTGCACGTAGAGTCACTGGATGGTATTAGTTTGATAAGAGTTCGGACACAGAAATGACAACGGTTAGGGTTTTTGAATGTTTAGATTTATAAAGTTACACACCTTGCATTGTGACAAGAGAACCATAGTCGTCCCGCGCCTTTTCATTCAAAAATTCTTTGAATTTGACAATAAATTTTATAAACGTCAGAATTGAAATAAAAGTTCATAATTATTATACTTTCGAGATGAAAGCAGCTATGGAAATCACTTGCTGTGTAATAAATTGTGCCAATTCTGAAACAAATGGATCATTTATTCCATTTTCCGAATCAAATATAATATCCAGCATTCGCTTATGGAAGGAAGATATGAAACGGCCTGGGTGGAAAATCAATTTGAAGATGAGCGAAACTTGTGAAATTCACTTCTTATAACATCTTCTGATTGGAATGAATCTATATTTTAGGCCCATTTTCAAACAGAAGATTTCAAAATCTGATTGAGAGAATCTGCTGTTCCATCAATTTACAAAGCAGACGATCATCACACAAAATACAAAACAAAATAATAATGGAAAAAGGGGAAATGATCGCAAAATTACATTATGAAATTGAAAATTTGAAAACGAAACTAAGAAAAGCAAGTAAACTACAACGTGATATATTATTATTGAATGGCGTTTTTGGTGCCGACCGAATTCAACATTCAACAGTGAAAAGTAAATAGATATTTATGTATCAAGGGAATTATTATATAAGGGCCTTAATTACGCTGGAGGTATCGTTTTGGAGATATTTTCTATATTGATCCATGTTACTTAGCTCCTAGGGCGCTGAGTGAAGTTGCTGAGAACTTCACAAAACCAAGTATTTGGTAGGTCTCGTCAAAATGAATTACTTTTTTCCTATGAAATCTTTATCAAAAAATGATGTATCTCCGAAATGAAGCATTTCCGGATGCAAGCTTATATAGACTTAATTTCTTAAAATTGTCTCAGGAATACTTCACTGGAGTACAGTTTCACATACAATAAGGAATTATAGCTATAAGTTTATCCATATGTATATATTCTCTGATATTGAAATGTTGTTACATGCATTTGTTCATTTATATAATAGTTGCTCTTCTAGAAGTGTATCACTATGAATTGAAGTGGGTGTTTGTACCCTATATCCATTGTCCATCTACGGCTATGATTGATTTGACAGGAAATATAACCTCTAAAATCGTATCTGACAATCAGGCGCTACTAGGGAAATTGAAAAGACGAAGAGCAGAATATATGTCTTATTCTTTTATTCACTTAAACCATTGTATTATAGAAAATAGAAAAGGACAAAAGTTCAGCTGTGTCCGAACTCTTATCAAACTAATTAGGTATTTCGGAATGCTGTCAAAATCAGATTCAAGATGGTTGCTGTACCCAAACAAATAGCTGTCATTCCGTGACTTTTTTAACCATATTTTCAATTGAATTTAAAATGTGTTAAATGCTGCTTTCTTCGCTTCTTTAGTTGATAATTGAACTTTATATACTTAGTTTTATTAGGATTGCATCATCTTTATGAAAATTATTGAATAGTTGATGTGTATTCCTGTGGTGTATTCTGGACACTATTTGGATAGGTTTTACTTGGTGTTTGTGTTATAACAATGTTTTATTGTGGAATAATCAATTGTAAGAGTCGGTAATATCGTGATAGCATGAAGTTTCATCGAATCCTGAGTGTCTTGAAATTTAGACATAAATTGGAACAATGAATTATCAAAAGAAGAGACAAGTGGATAAATAGAAATGGTTTGATGGAGCAGAAACTCAAAATGTTGAGAGTTTGCAGCAAACATTTCCTACCTACTTGGTGAGTTCACTGAAACAGGTAATGAATAGTAGTAAATATAATAGGTATAATGGAAATTATAGGGAAACCTGCATATCTATCAGATGTTAATAATCCTAACTGGGCTCCCAGTTTATTTTTGGGATATGATAGCTTAGCCTCTGACAACCGATCTAAGGAAACTATCAATGATATGGAAACATCAGAATGACAAGCTGAGGCTGCAGGACTATCTGATTTCAAACAGGCTGCAGGGCCATCTAATGAACAGGCTGTTGGATCATCAGATTTTCAAGATGAGAACCTTAGTATAGTTCCTGAATGTGATAAATATTCACGAACAAATATCACAGCTGTCAGCCTAGTGCTGATCTAATTATAATTTGATAGGAATCATCCCACAAGGAACAGTGTGTTTGATCAGTGAGGCTTGTGGAGAAAGAGCATCTGATTATCCCATAACAATCAATTCAAAATTAATAGATAATATTATTCCAAGTTCCAAGTGAGTTTCTGTACAAGATCAATTGAATATAATTGATACCAATCTTTATTAAATCCAGAATTACTGAAAGAGAATAAACTTTTCAAATTAGTTTTATTGACTAGAAGCTAGAAATCTTTTATATGTATGGAAAAACTAATTTTATTAAACAGCATGCACTGTTGAAAATGTTCCACTTGTCCTGACTTTCAATCTATTTATGTATGTCTACTGTTCTAACAATCTTCCTGAACTCATCTGAATTTCAAACAGTATCTATCCAACATACAATTAATACAAATTCAATTTGTAGGTGATTTGATTTTAGGTGACCATGGCTTTTTGGTTGGTGACTATGTACAAATTTTGAATGCCCAAGTAAGGATTCAAGCTTTTACAAAAGGAAAGAAACAATTAAATCCTACTGAGATTGTGGGAACTAGAGCTACTGCCAATGTGAGAATTCATGTGGAGTGAATTATTGGTGCAATGAAACAGAAGTACAGGATATTAGCTGATTAACATGCCAATTTCACTTATAATGTGGTGATGATCCAACTCTCCACAAAATCATTACAATTTGCATATGTCCCCCAATTGTTCAATTAGACTGAATATGTTATGTTCTTGATTGATGAAGATATATAGTAATAGAGTTATGCAATATAGACAAATCTTTGATAAGTAGGAACCAAATATATACAGCATATCTCATTTTGAAAGCCCCTTCCTCTATATCCCTCAACTGGTCCCTCAATATCTTGATTTTTATGAAATCATATTAGGAATATTTTGGCATAAAAACTAACTTCATATTGTTCCTCATGCTTCCAAACCTCCATAACATGCAAAAAAATCACCACATTTCAAATTGACAGGATTGGCTTAATTTTTTTAAATATTTAATATTTATGTTGAAGTCACCATTTCAGAGTAAATAATGATAAGATTACATTTGCAAAATTGCTATTTAGATATGCCTGTTTTTGAATTTTGAACAAAACTGGTTTGCTCACTCACAACTCACCTAAATAATAAATCATGATAAGTAGTAGATATTTGGGAACACAGGAGAAGAAATACTCCGTTTTTTTTCAAAAACACAAATGAACAAGATTGAGATTTATTATATTGTTGTAAGACATTTTTCTTTGTGCCAACACTTTTGGTTGGTCAATTTTCACGAACTTTTCATGAAACATCAATGAACAGTGGATTCATATGTTAATTCATAATCAAATTGTTGATAAAAATATTCCTTGTGATGAGACTGATGAGTATTGTTTAAAAAATCTGAATTACTATGTTATATTAAGGTAATGTGATAAATATTTTGTGTATGAATGATAGGTACTCATTATGATAGCAAATGTTTGTAATTATTAATAAGTATTTTGTGTGATTATGATATCTATAGATACTTTGATGAACTGTGATGATAGTCAAAATTTCTAAATTGAAAATTCAAGAAGAATTATTGATGAATAAGGTTGATCTGTTTCTCAATGAATTGTTGGTCAGTACAGCAAACTTGCAAACAAGACATCAAAATGTTCAAGATAATTCACTAAAATGACTTGGTGGACTTTCTGGAAAGACATTCTGTTGACTATATAATTATTATTACAGGTATTACATTGAAATGTGTTTGAGAAAACTATAGTTAAGATGAATAAAATCATGAAGCATGAATATGTAGTGTTTTAATGAATTATAAGGTTAAAAGAAACCATTTATAATATAGCTCAATTTTTAATTGAAGAATAATTGATTTCATCAATAGTGTAGATATTTGGGTGAATTGTGTCAATATCCTATTTGTGAATTTTCATATTTGTCTAGTAGTTAAGAACAAAGTAAATATTTTTGACATAAATTTCCAGTAGTCATATTGCAGAGCAAGACTAACATTGAAATATTTTCTGGAGTTACTATGTTCAGTATACATTTTTAGATATTAGAGTTGAATCATAATAGTTTAAATCCTTGCAGATCAGAGAGCTTACAAGAATCTGATACAAATTTTTTAAACAGGATTTGCACAAATAGGTGAAGTGGAGGGAATCAGTGATATGCATTGGTGTTGTCCTTGTAAGTAAAAGGGTATCAAAGGAGAAAAGTACCTACACTCACTATAATATGCCTGTTTTGTGTGGAAATGATTGAGGAATTAATATGATTAATTGCTTATGCATGGCAGGGATATCAGATATTTGCTAGGTCAATTTCTCTTAAAGATTTCAATATTTCTGAGAGCTGTTGCCTTCTATAGGTTGAATATGTTCTAACTTTAGTGATTTTCTCTCAGATTTTTGAGACTGGCAAGAGGAACATTAGATGGTGTTGGTTTCATCCATTCTGCCTGAAAATGGGTACTTGACTTGGCAGTTCTGCAGTTGTGAATACATGTTAAGCTATAGAGACAAGCAACAACATGACTATACAAACTTCTGACAGCCCAGCCATGCAGGTGTGATGGCTCTGTATTTATTCCTTGATCACTTTTACACAATACCCAGACTTCTAGTGAGGGTAAAATCATTATTTGAAAATGTTTCACCTACAAAAATATCAAATATTTAACAGGTACTGTCCAGATATCCACTCATAGTAATGACTGCCTAGAACAACAAACATATGCCACTGATTTTCTTCACTCCTCATAGGTATTTGTACAAAACATGCCTCAGAAAATGTATACCCACTCAAACTTTCATGAGCTTTCGTTTGCTCTGCAGCATAAAAACTAAGTGTTAACAATTATATCATGTCAAGATATCTATTGAAGTGACTCCAGGAAACATCGGAGCCTGGGTTTCCATTATTCTGCAGAGAATAGGGATCAATAGAATCGATGACTTTGATTTTCTCTTTGTATCGCTCTAAATTATGACCACCAGAAATTTCTAATTTCAATAAACATTCACTTTATTCATGATAAAAACCACAATATTAAAAATTCAAAACAAAATCCGTGACAATCATAACCTTAAAACTCGCAATTTAGAGGAAGAGGAAGTACATTTTTGACGTTTGAAGTACGGGCGGAAACGGGGCAGGTACAGCGGCCATTTTTAGGTCACGGGTTCTGGAATGCCTAATACCATCCAGTGACTCTACTTGCACGCAACCCATAAGAAAAGTGAGGTTGTGTTTTAATGTTGTTCCTCCAGGGTCGATCATCTGACAGTTCTTGCACGCCACACGGTTAGGAGGTTAGGTTAGATTAGACCTGATTCCCCCATTGATAATAACAATATGAGATCATTGGATAAACCCTTGGAAAAACCTTAGATAAACCCATAAATTTCTGATGAACAGAGGATGATCTTATGTGACTAAGCAAATTTGTAAGAATCTGGACATTGATCCACAAAAATTTGTAAAGATGAACTGTGTTGACCAAGGTATTAACAAAACCATGACATGGTCACCATGTGAAGAACTGACAACAGAATTTACAAGGAATCACTATGGCATTATTATCTTGAATAGCCCTATCAATTTCAGTTTTCATCAAGAATTTGTAATACGTATGTGGAGGCAAGGTGAGGTTATATCAAAGAATATGGAAGAATATGTAAGGGAATTATGGAAACTCATATCTTATAGCTAAGGTACGAGTGACTGTAGATGGAGGAACAGACAGGTGGCAGCATTGGCTCACAATGAATGAACATGAGTTCAAAGATGTACCAAATCCTGATCTCATCACAGGTGATATGGATTCCTTGTCTAAAGAAGTATTAAACCACTTCACAGATTGTGGTACCAAAGTAGTTGTGACACCAGATCAGAATGAAACAGATTATGTAAAAGCTTTGGTAGAGCTCAACAAATACTGTTGCTCAGAGAATATAGAAGTAAGTAATTGATGCATGTAGTGAAAATTATATAGACAAACTTCAAACTTTGAAAGTTTTGATATTTGATATAACACTAATAAAATATCCAAAATAATCATCTGATATGGAGACAATGTATTGGATGAGACATTTTCAGCATAAGAGGAGCCAATGTTACTTATAAGACTATTGTTTAATGAGGCTCAGTTTGAAGTACTTTAAGTAGTTACCTATCCCCTGCTGAATATTTTGAAAAACAGTAGGTACTCGCACTAATCATTTATTCATCAACATAATCATGCCCCTATAATAAATAAAATTAATAGATATTAAAAATAAGGAGTAAAAGGAGGCATATGGGTATCTATTTATGAGGAATATTAGGGAGTCAATTAATGAGAGTCAATTAATGAAGATATTTATTCTATTATAAAACTTCATCTATATGGAGAAAAATCTATAGCTATCTGAATCTATATAGCTCAATAATGCCAACATAATTGTCTGCAGGTATATGAGGACCTGATGGCAGTTGCAGTTTATAGTTATTCAAATGAAATGATTTGCCTATTTATCTACTGATCTACTGAAACATTTCATAACCTACTAAAAAATATTTTGACATATTATAATTACCTATATAATTATTAACCTTTAGTTACAATTACAAATTGAGTGGTAAATTTTCATATAGTTACTAATGATCTCGCTAATGATATGTATAAACCAAAAAAAAAATCAAATTCAAATTTGTATGTACCACTGTTATAACAAATCCTTTCTTATGTTTAATTTTTTTACGAGTTTTTTTATTAGTTTTGTATTTTTGTTCATCATTATTATTGTTTCCTGTTTTCTATTCTCTCAAATCTTACAAGACCTATGTAACTATTTTTGAGATGTTGGAAATTGGTTACATTTCTGTTTATCAAAGAACATAATGTTTTGATGTCATGGTTTATTTCATTATCCTTTCTTGGAATTCCTATAGCATCAAATAGATCTGAATTTTTGAGAAAGTATATCTACTGATGAAATAAAAACCCAACCGGCAACCCTGGTCGTCATAGAGAGTGAGTTAACAACAACTGTCATTTGCTGTTGCCAAATTTATTATTCCGGAAATCCGAATAATCCCATAGATTTCACATGGTGGATGAAAAAATGTATTATGCACCTCAGTGAAAAATTGTCTATTGTCTTGTCTGCCTAGAGGCTATCAATCTGCAGACTCAACTAGTAGACAGTTTTTCATCGTAGGTAAATAAATAACTATTTTGAGCTGTGAAAAATAGTTATTTATTATATAAGGGAAAAAAGTTGTAGATTTTAGCTCCAGGTTGCGAGCTAAAACCGTGAGCTAAAATTTAATATTTTTCCCTCATGTATAATACACTATTTTTTCTGTGACAGGATATTACATTACATTAAAATCAGAAAATTATTATTGACGTGAAATTTGAAGCTCTCTAATTCTGTGATTTAATTATAGAGTACGAATTTAGATGTTGTTTTATTGATTATAAAAAAGTGCGAATTTAGTGGTTGTTTAGTAATTTACCGAACCGTGAAGTCAAATAGAAGATAAAAAAGGGACAGTTCTTTCTCGGAGAGGGTGTTATGGGCTTATTTTTCGAAAATATAGCACAACAAAAGCCATCAACATCAATTTTTTCCCATGGCGAAAAAGTAATTTATGAAAAGTGACATTTGATAATCTGTCAACAGACATGAAATTTCAAACTTTTTTCCCGTCACAGATCTTTTTTTCTTTGAAAAAGATTCAATACCCTGGAAATGAGCCTCCAAAACCAAGTTTGTATGAACTTATTCAAAAAGGAATATTCTCATATATATGAATCACCCTGTATATACAGTAATAATATAACTCTATGATATAACGCAGCAAAAAAAACCAAACAAAGAAATTGACAATAGCAATGTTGATGTCTTAAACGTCAAAATTGAGAACAAAATTGGTCATGGCTCCTAAAATATCACACTTGGGGTCTATCGGAAATTATTACAGAGTATAGGATAATACAATTTTCATCGCTTTATCAAATGCTCCTGTTTTTTCACCGAAAATGATACAAGGAAAATAGTTGTCTTCTCTAAAAACACCCTTTATAACTATAGCAGAAATGTAGAAGTGTATCAGAAAAATGTATTTCATCATCATACATTCATGCAAGAAATTTTGATTTGGTGGCTCCTACTGTTTAGAAGTTATGCGGAAAAATCATTTCAATTTAATCAACTTTGGAAAAATATATCTCCCTTTATACACATTTTGTGCCATTAGTTTACTACTATGGTGTGTATAATCTCTGCTACTATTATATTTATTTCTCAATGTTCTATCACCTCCAGAAAGCTTGGTACACATTTTTGACTAACCCTGTATTTATCAGTTCTACCAACTCTGACCTCACGTTTCAGTACCGAGATCTGGTGGACCATAAATAATGATAGCCCTCATTATGTAATTGTGCTCACATGCAGCGGCGTCAACAATCAAATTTGAATTTGCATTGAAAATTGATGATTTTGAAAGATAAGTAAATGCATGCAAATTGGTTCTCGTTGAAATTTGAAAAAAATGATAGTGCGGAAAAAATTTGCATATGCCGCCCTCGTGTAGGAAGTCCCGAAATTATTCACTGAACATGTGATAAAGAGGGTATTTTTGAAAAATTATTTAACGTATGTTTTTTCACAGACTTATTTTTCGTGTTACTTGTTACTTATTACTCTGTTTATAATAGTGGCGTGCACAAACGCTGTGGTAACTTTTTAATCAAGCACATTTATTGTGATTACAACTTGAAAACGTTGCACAAAATCTGTTATTATCAGCTAGTCATTTTCTACTTTGCTGTTCTAGCGAGATTTCTGAAATTTGGAATATCGAATATGCTCACCAGAGGGCACTTTCTCACATTTCAGGATTTTTTCGCATCCCGGTTTTCCTGGAATTCACATCAACTCTCGATTTTCGAATAGAACACCCTATATTTTATTCCATAATGGGCGTGTACACCTCAGTAGAATTTTTAACTCAAACCATGTTTATAATGATCCTTTTTTACATAAATAATGATTGACGACATAATTCGATCGAAAAATTAACTGGAATGTTTAATTCTTGGACATGAATAATAGTACCTTCTAAAAACGGACCCTCTTATGACGTAGGAACCTCATCTCGCCATAGTTAAAAGAAAATACCAAACGCCCGACGGAGACTGAGGCAACTGATATATTAATTCTTCCAACTGTGATCTCGCGCTAATTCACTCTGTCAGAAATCATGTATCATTCATCTCTGTCTGGAATAGTCTTGTTTCAGTATTAGGGTTTTGACGTCACATCATCGCCTCGTTTTCAGAGGTCCGAAAAATCGGGGATTTCAATATTTTTTTATAAAACGTAGGGAGCTCACAGCAAGAAACGGTTTGCGGTGGTGAGCTAAAGGGGTGAGTTCTATCGAATTATGAAATAAAATTTTTTTTTGATATAAGCCCATTGGTTAGAGATTATTATAACGAATTCAACGATACCGGATTTGATTGAGATATTTCAAACGGGTACGCAGATATTTGCGTTCGAAGTTTCCGTATGCGCAATATCAAGTTCTTTCTCTCTCACACTTCGAAAGATGAATAAATTTCCTGGAATTGAGAAAGTGCCCTTTAGTGAGCATATTCGATGTTCTAGATTTCAGAACTATAACTACAAAACCAAAGGGGAAAAGGGTATGCTGGATTCAATTCGGCAGTGTTGGCAAACTGTGTTTCTACTATAATAGTTATTTATACACCAAGGCAGTAAATAATATTATTATTACCCAGGGACTAAGATTATATCCAGAGGCTTTAGCCGAGGGGTATAAGGTCCGGAGGTAACAATATTCTTTACTACCAAGGTGTATATTACATTTTATGTTAAATAAAAGTAGTCCAATAAATGAAGGAGGAAAAAAAGGCAAAGTTAACGTTAATTACGCACTATTTCCATCTTCCGGTTGGAAGTAGCTTTTGGTACCTCATTAAACATGAGACAAAGTTTGACTGGAAAACGCGTGCGATGGCGGAGAAAATGGCCCCAAAAGACCAGGAAAATAGGTTTTCAGCCAATATCTCCTAAAATATGGCAGTTGGAGATTTTCGGTTCAGATAAAAATTGAAGTTCATCTAATTTTCTACAAAAATGGTCCTTATCATTTTTTTCGCAACATCAATATTTTCTGCAAAAAAAATCGGGTTGAAAAATTGGAAATTTTGAGACTTGTGAAATATGCAAGTTTTGTACAAAATTTGAGCTGGGGGGTGTTGGAAATCCATTATTTTCAATGTTTTGGATTGTGGAAACCAATTGTAGATGGCGCCACCACATTTTACAGATTGGGAAAATCCTCGGTGCCATAAATGAGAAACCCTGTAACCAGACATTTTTGATGGATATTTATGTTTCCGAGGGTCTTGTTTTCCTCTCAGATGAGGCCTCAAGATATACTTATTAGGAAAACAGGTTATAAGATTAATTACAGCAGGATGGACCTCACCAGTTGGCCTAAATCTAGCAGAATCAAAATTGTTGCACTGGAAGCCGCCATTTCTCCATTTGAGAATGAAGCGTCTCCTGCACTGTTTGTGCATTTGCACAGACGTTTGTTTTTCTAAAAAAAATATGATGTTTATCCTTCCTTTCCTTGCTCACATCAATCAGATTTTCTAAGCCCCGAGTTACGGTGACAGCATCCGCAGAAATTGGTTCCTTACAAAGGAAACACACTGCCGTAGCAGAGTTGACCTCCATTTTTCTATAACAAGAAAGGCAGACCAAGATTTCACTTAAAATAGTTGCTTGTAAACAAATGTTCTTGAATAAAAACAACATGAACAAATTGTCACCTGTTGCTCCAATTTTACAAAATTTGAATCATCACTTTCTATATGTTTTGGGTTGGTGATGAAAGTTAATTTTAACGAAAAACGTGAATATTTGTTCAATATTCTCCACTTTTATCACTCTTCTTTCTATAATTGACGATAATATTTATCAAAACAATGACAGAAAACACACACAGTTATGCCTCCAAGCGTGGCCGCATGGTTTGTAGCAGACGACCCGAGCGCCACGTAGAGCACACACGCGGCGAACGACGGAGGAACGAAAGTAATAAATTATAGCGTGTACATTTAGATATACTGGTTTTTTTCCCGGGATATCAAAGGTATGACTTATATACATCGATGGAGAAGTGGGAATTCCCCCGTAACACCAGTTAAGGTGTTGAAATGTTAGAAATAAAGAGCACGGAGAAAAAAACCACCGAAAAAAAGTGCGTTTTTTCCTTGACCCCGCTTTTTCTAATTTTATTGAAAAATGGACGACTTCGTCTAAAAAAGTAATTGCACAATCGAGAAGTAGATCTTCTTAGCTTTCAAATGATGTATCATAGAAACCAATCGGATCATGTATAAATTTTTAATTGATGGTTGTTCACAAAATTTCCCCGCGCTCCAAAAACAGCAAAAAATTGGGATTCAATAAACAAAGATTAAATGAAAATTAAAAATTAGGGTATACACATTTCAGGGATGACAAAGGACCTTGTGAGGACCCATAATCAAGAAAATTTTGAGTAAATTAGTGCAATACAAAAAAAAATAGGAACAAATTCCTGGCGAGGTCAAAATTGTCCGGGAGCAGAAAGTTTGACCCATGTTCCGATATGGCCAAAAGAGTCAAGCGTGACTCAATTCACAGGGTATGATAGCAGCAGAATTCCTCTTTCACATTAACTTTGAATCATGAGAAAATATGCATTTTTAACATAGTTATTGAATAATTTGTCCCCCCGCCGATGTGTAAATACACGGACTGTGCTCTCCGGCATACAACAGAAGCTCATTATTCGAGGTGCGCTTCGTGCCGTTTTTCTCGAAACCGGGCAAATTTTCGAGAAAAATAATAAGGACCATTTTTGTAGAAAATTAAATGAACTTCAATTTTTATCTGAACTGAAAATCTCTAACTGCCATATTTAAGGAGATATTGGCTGAAAACCTATTTTTCTGGTCTTTTGGGGCCATTTTCTCCGCCATCGCACGCGTTTTCCAGTCAAACTTTGTCTCATGTTTAATGAGGTACCAAAAGCTACTTCCAACCGGAAGATGAAAATAGTGCTTAATTAATGTTAACTTTTTCCCTTTATTTATTAGACTATAGAGGAACAAGGTTCGACCCTTCAGATAATAGTGATTGGTCTGAAATTAGAAACATCTAACCGATCACCTTTCTTGTATATTGGGCAGACTTTAGAAATCTTCCACGAAGATGGAACAGTTTTGGTCCTCAGGGACCTCAGGCAAATATTCATTAGAGTTGCTAAAGGATAGGCAAGTACAGTTGCGCAGTCTTTAACTAAAAAGGCTGGAATATGATCAGGACCGGTATTCTTTCTAGGTTTGATTTGCTTGAGTGCACTGAGGACCTCACATTCATCAATTCCTTGTATATGAATTGAATTATTCGGTATTATTATCAACTCCTAGTAATGGTAGGTTTCATAGCTAGTGGTGATGAAAACCATTTTTTTATTTTTAGCTTGATACTGTATATGTGCTAGCTGACACATGTGGTCGTTTTGACCAAATCATGGCAAACATCAATGCATTATTTCGGAGCAGAGATATTCTGAAAGGAATAAGAATATATCAGATAGCATCAACGTCATTAACTTGGCTCTTAGATGAGGGATTCCATTCGATAAGTATACCAGAAGGCCTTGTAAGCAATCGTGATTGGTGTGCACTTATACCAATTGGTGGCCCCTGTCAGGTATCAACAACTGGGCTGAAATGGGATTTAGGTATGTTCAGCACACACTGAGCTTCAATTCTCATATTTTTTCAATATTGAGTTAGTGGACAGTTTTGTTCTCATTTTTTATTCATGATCTTCACACTAATTTATGGTTTCAATACCATCATTTTTCAAAACGTTTGTGAATAGTTTCAAGGTCTACTTTTCGCGATAGAAAATGAGCGTACGCCTCCTATCGGAGTTCTTGAAAGCTGTCGAAGCGGCCTGTTTACTTTGTTTTCATTGGTTCGGATTTGCTTTTTGTTTGTGTTTATTGGTCATATCATTCAAACAAACCGCTTAGATGTGTTCAAGTTGTTACCGTCAGGAGGGGCGACGTGTTATTTATTATCGCGAATTGTTCTCATAATTCAGAGAGTGAATCACGTAGTTGTCAGATGACAAAGTATATCTGGAAATTACACAAATTGTCTGGATATAAATAATCATAAATTATTATTTATCATTACATTCATATTACAGCACGTATCTGTTCGCAACATTTCCATGCAAAACTTTTTCGAACAAGTTTGAAAGTTGAATTGCAGACATCAAAAAAAAAAACACAAATATACAAATATTTGAAACAGGAAGCAATTCCTACAGAACATCTTCCGTCGAATATGTAGTTGGAAATATGTGGTAATTGATTCAAAAGACTCAATTTTTAAATATAAATTGCAGCAAATATTTTAATAACAAAACGGCAAAAAAATATACTCCTGTTTTCGATGTCAAAGCAGAAGCATTATCAACTTCTGAATTTGAATCTATCATAATTGACACAATGGCTGATCATTCGATAGGATTGGCAATGCATATTAATTCGTACGTATTTCCTATTGTCAATTACCGCAAGATAATAAATTCCAGTATCAATGAAATAGTAATATAAATTTAATTAATTCTAGACAGATCCAGAAACTCATAGATATTTCAATAAACTTGATTAAATTCATAGCGCACGCCTATGGCAACTGTATCTGTCTTTGACTGGCAGCTATCATTGATATCCCAGATGACGTCACGTAGGCACACCATCTTCTCCTTCCACTATGAATGTCATCCTTTCCATGTAAACAATTTCATGAGTGGTTACGATTAGGGTCCCTTGATGTAAATTGACGTATTTGTCATCTGAACAGGGTACGTCTCTCACTCTAAAGTGTTTGTGAAACAGTTATATAGTTCCATCTCTATTCATTTCTGGGATAAACACTGGATTTCTGACATTTGTTGTATTTTAGGTTATATTGAGGCCATTGGCGTATCATACGTAATTTCCACATGTAATTTCTCGTTCAACTCTAAATATTATATCCGAATGATGATGATAATTTTCGATTTTCTGATTTTTCAACTCATGCATAATCATTCTGAGGCAGTGAGCAAATGTTTCTGAAAGTTCAATACGTTTAACCAAATGGGACTGTTCTTAGGCAGTACCTATCAATAAATGAATGTTGATTTCAGACTAAGCCTTATGGTTGAGAAATGGTGAAAAATTTTATGTAGGTATTTAAACTAATGTGCTCATATGTCATGTAGGTATATTTTTTTAAATGGTAGGGCATAATACCTCTTCTTTTGATCCTTCGTTTGTGGAGTGGATAATTATAGGCACAATCAAAAAGTATATGTGATTTCGTATTAGTTTTGCCTTGAATATTTTGCTGATGTATTCACCAATTTTCCCCATTCGTTCACTTCACTTTCCAAGTTATAAGTTCATTTGCATTTGATGGAAAGCTGACAAATTCAAATTTGCCATCCAACTGATTGATACATCCTAACGCAGCACATTTTACCATCCTTCCAAAACAGAATCGAATAATGTCGTATTCAGATCAAGTATGAAATTAATATTTTGTAATATCTCTCTGTTAAGATGACAAATACGTCAGTTTGCATCAAGGGACCCTAGTTATGATAATTTTTCACGATCGGAGAGTTTCAGTTTTTGGTCATTGTGAGAAACATGTGAATACAGAGTTTCCTAAATAATCATGGTTTTTTGTTATCAAAGGGTTACACTAAATATGTGATTCTCAACAGTCATATCACGATATTCTAATTATCCGAGATAATTCTGACACTATTTCACGAAGCATTTATTATAAATGAAACAAGCCATATAACCAAAGCGATTCATCCTCTCATCTACAGCTATAATTATACTATGTCGAACTGACAGACTTTGCTTCACTATCCTTGGTTACATCATTGCAGACACTAACGCTGATAGACCAATCAGAATTGAGAGACAGCTAGTGTTTTCGCGATAACACAAGTTGTCTTTGGCTTGTGATTGGTCAGATTATGTGAGAATTTTAAGATGTGTGAAATAGCCATAAAAATTCTTTTCAGATAATACGAAATTGGAATTTGGGGATCTCGTTAGCACTTCAAATACATATGGTGGTCCTTCAGTTATTACAGTGAAGACTAATTCACCTGTCATTTGGTCCATGAGCATTGACTCATTATTATAGTCATAGCGGTTTTGAGAGTTGATAGAAATTTATTCGAATGTTGAAAGGAAATTTGTTTATATTTTTCCTGATTTTACATGTTTTGTACAGAGTGGCGCAAAATGGCCTTAATGGATTGAAATCATTTAAACTTTTTTCATTTCCAAATGTATCTCGGATATTTTCTACTTATAGACAGTATACAAATGGGAAATATCATTGACTTATGTACGACGTTCCATGAACATTACATAAATTTCCTTTTGTGTACTCCAAGAGATGAAAAAAAAGATTCACAAATTTGTGATTCTCAAAATTAAGGGTGTAGTGCTTCTTATTGCTATTTATTTCTATTTTTCTGTTGGCTTATATTTCGGAAAATAAATACAGCGTGTCTCATTTCGAACGGCCCCTCTTCTATATCTCATGCGATCTTTACCAAATTTGGACCGGTACAAAAAACCATCAATATAATCACTTTTTCGGAGACGAACAGCATGTTAGATAGTGAAATCATAATATGACTTCATAAAAACCGGCCTCGGTTTTTATTTCAATTAAAAAGCTCGGCACTGTCCAAATGTATTGTCAAATTCAAACAATTTTTAATGAAAAAGCGCGGGACGACTATGGTGCTCTTGTCACAATTCAAGGTGTGTAACTTAATAAATCTAAACATTCAAAAACCCTAACCGTTGTCATTTCTGTGTCCAAACTCTTATCAAACTAATAGCATCTAGTGACTCTAGTTAAAAGTATAATCTTTCGAGGACCAAGTTGTAGTCAAAGCTACCTACATCTGAAAGATCTGTCAAATTTGAATATTTACATTTATTTAGAAGAAACAGGTAGGTTGTACAGTGTGTGCCGTTTTCGATGTTTTTGCGTCATATCTCTGTTAAGTTTGGAGATATAACCTTGCGGTTTTCCCGGTCCTGTGCCACTTTTTTGTGAAACTCAAGATGGCCTATTCTGATTTAGCGTAACTGTTTCCGTTTATGAGGTACAGGGCGATTTTTAAAATTTTTTTACCCCCTCTATATCTACGAGGTCGCACTCTTTGTGATTCCCACGAATTCTATTCGCTGTTATATCGTGAACCGAATTGTTTATGCTTGCAGTACTGTCGGTTCAATCTCTCCGAGTCCTCTCAGTGAAATTATGACAAAAAATAATTGAAAAATGAGAAAATAAAGTTATAACGAATTCAAAGCATAAAGGTTTTTTGTGCCATCCTGTAGTCTTATGAGATTTTAATCATGTTTTTATTAATGAAGCATTTGTTTTTAGATAATTTTTTTTTAATTGTTATATCCATAGTCATTTAAGCTGTTAAAGTGCCTTTAACTTAGATACTTGAATCATTACAGTGCAACCAATCTGGGACTGCCATATCTTCTGCTCCATTAAAAAAACTGAACATTATCAGTTGGTGTATGCATGGTAGTGGGTAACTTATCTCTGGTATGGGGTACTTGTATTGATGTCAAGTTAGTAGATAGCTAGGAACTTGATTTGTTGTATTCCATTTTTGAATTGTTATTTTTCCTATTATAAACTTCCTAGAAGTCTGAGATTTAATGTGATAAAGACTTATTTGTTTTGTAAATTTGTTATGAGAACATAGGTAGGTACGTCAAAAACACTTTTTAAGTCTGTTACTATTTATTCAAAATAAATAAACTGGATTTTCAAATAGTTGTTTCAATGTTCCATATTCTCTAACTTGAAATTACAGAACTGAATAAAGATGAGTGAGGATTGGAATCAATCGAGTGAAATAAAATGGAGCCTATATAAAACAACATATTATACAACGTGCCTCATTTCAACCCCCCCCCTTCTATGTATCAGCTAGTCGTGCGATTTTTACCAAATTTGGACCGATATGAATAATATTTCAGACCTTTGGCACGATAATACACTAGGTACATTGCTTTACCACTAACCAAACCGTTTTTTTATACCCGTCGACACATGTTTCGCTAACTATGTTAGCATCTTCAGAAGAAGGTTAAAACATAGTTAGCGAAACACGTGTCGAGGAGTATATAAATTCGGTTTGGTTAGTGGTGAAACAATGTAGTGCGGTATGAATAACATTGACTGAACATCAATATGATCAATTTTGGGTTTTATTAAAATGGAAGGAGGTCCTGGAATCAAAACCTGAACATCAATTATTATTTCAAAATATATGACAAGTGCTGGTGCCCCCCTCCTCTGTTTTTCTACAAAAATCTGATTCTACTTAGAACCATCCTATAACCACATGACGATACACATCAGTATTGCATCAGTACTTAGAAATGAAGAAAAAAAAATTCTTCAATATTCGGAAACATTCAGTATTATAGTAGATATTATTATTATGAAAATCGATCTCAGCCTACTCTTTTTATGAGCAACGTTATTTTTCTCCAAAAAAACTTCAACGCCTTGCGCCAACTCAACGAGACGATTTTGGATATAGGTAAGTCGGCCTAAATCAACTTGTTTCTATCCCAGGAGTCCACAGCCGAGCCATGTCCCAACCTTTTACAGACACCCTGTATATAGATAACTACTGTATAATGACATAAGAGGAAACATAGAACACATGACCTTCTTGAAACATTTTATTCATAAAAAAAGTATAAATGTATTATAATTCAATTATTTTTTCTACAAATTAGATTTAAATAAAAAAACTATCAACATAATGCCAAAGTCAATGATCATCGTCGTATTTGATGATTCGGAATGAACAGAAATTGTAGATTAGTCAGAAAATAAAAATGGACGGAAAATAATCACAACAAAAAATGAAATGGAATTTTGCACTATCTGCAAAGAACACTAAATATACATAAAATAATCAATAATCTACTGAATATGTTATGAAATAAAGTCCTAGTCATCAACATCAGAAAATTCAGAGCATCTTTGGCATTGAATTATTCAATAAAAAAGATTTTATCAAAATCCTGTCATGATCTATAATCAGCATTGAACGTAAAAATGAAAAGAGAGATTATTTACCATCAGATCACAAAAAAATTAAAGACAATTCATCATCCAAAGTTGTTATTGTTTTGTATTAGTATCAAACTTGAATGAAAAGAGAATTGCTCGATTCTATATACATTGAAAATACATCGAGTTTGAGCTGTCTAGTTTTTGTGAAACACATAATCACTATTGCGATGGTCCGAATTCCGAATTTGTATAATAACTAAAAGACCTAGGATAAACAGATCTATCTAGATCATGAAAATCATCAATGTCTCAGTGGTCCAAAGTAGTTTCAAAAGAAAAACACCAAATATTCCGACCGACTTTGAGATATTTGGTGTTTTTCTATTGAGATCTATCTAGATTGTAAGCAAGAGCAAGAACGCGCTGTTTCGTCCCTTCAGACCTCATCAGCTGCTCTCGGTCTGCTAAAAATTGGGAATACTAACCGCTTCGGGTAAATCGCCTTCTTCAAAGATGCCGAAATTTCTATAAAAATCTTGTCATATTTTTGCCATCTAGTGGCTGAATCATATGAAGGGATTACTCTTCGTTTCATCTTTTCATTCAATGATAAGTATACATCTAAAGCACTAAATACTGTTTTTTCGCCAATTGCTTGAGATTCTGAGCAGATCCGATTTCTCCCTTTTTTTCTAGTCTAATCAATTTCAGTGAAGAATCTATACAGCTATTTATAATAATTGTACTTTTAGGCCCCTTCTCATACTACACACTAAGCCAAGGTGGATATATTAGATGGTGACACAGCCTCCTTTTGATAGAAATCTATTTGATTTTGTCAAACTTTAAAACCGTAGAAAGACTAGTAAGGCTCCAGAATTAAACACCGAGTGGTGTAACTATCTTAGTTCTAGAAAGATTCACTTTTATGACAGATTTGATAGTTTAGCAACACATCTCATGTAACCACTTGAACTCTGATCAGGTACAATTTTCGATGGGCCATAGAATTCTCTATTTATTCGCATTTTATCAACAATATCTTCATGAAAATTCTTGTCCCATGGGAAAGTTTCTTTGGTTGAGATTTTTATTTATGAAAAATAATTTTTTCTACTCCCATATTATTAATAAGATACGCGTTTATTATTATTGTTCATTTTAACACGGATTTTCATTATGAAACAGAATTGACATTCAATCACAACACTTCAAGCATACCGGGTGTCAACAAATCTATTAGACAAGCTATAACTTCTAGAATATCCGGTGTATCAAAAAGAAATTTGAAATGGGTACATGATGTGAAGAAGAAAATTTTCGCATATTTTTCACTTCCAGGTCACTTTCTGTTTCACCAGAAAAGTCTCCGGTTTGGAATTTTCAAACGGAACAGAAATACATTGAGTATTCGAATTCTCTATGTGATCAAAATATCAATTCTTTCTCGGTTTATTCAACAGAAAACAACTATTTTCCTGGTTATATGCCACGACGAACATTGAATTATATCTATTGAACACACACGATAAGAATTTGAACACAAAATCTTCTGAAGTTGAGAATTTGCATTCTGCTTCAGATAAAAATGTGTATATGCACATAACATCAATCTGAATATTCAACAGAAAACAACTACTTTCCTGGCTATTTGCCACGTCCAACATTGAATTATATCTGTTTAACATCCAAAAGGAGAGCATGAATTTTTCCTCGTCCTATATGATGAATATCAATTTGTCATACATCCAAAAATGGTAATGAATTTTTCCACGTCCTGTATGATGAATATCAATTTGTCATACATTCAAAAATGATATCATTAGATTCGTCAAAAAATCATATTTTCGAAAAGTGCTTGACAAAAAATGGTTGCTATTCGAAGAATAATAGTTAAGCACGGAAATGTGGTTTTGTCAACTTTTTTTCTTCCGATATATCATGGTAGTCACTGAAACTTCGCCATTATAATTTTATGAAGTAATCTGAGGTCCGATTATTGCCACCTAGATGTAGTATTAAAGGTGACTTAAAAAAAATTAAGTAGGCGTAAAAACTGAAAATCCACCAGTGTTTCAGGAATTGAAAAATGTTATAATATACAGGGTGTTCCATTTAAAAATCCAAAACAGGAAGTGACCGGGAAGTGAAAAATATGCGAAAAATTTCCTATTCACATACCATATAATCATATTGAATTTCATCTTGATACACCGAACATTCTAGAAGTTATAGCTCGTCTAATATATTCGTTGACACCCGTTATAGGCCATTCATGGACTGATGTTGAAATATGAAGTTTGCGATTATGTTATGGCTAAGACACTCGCCATTGGCTCGTGCTCGTGTATCAATAGCTATAGCTAAATATAATAAAATTTTACTTTACAATTCCTGATAAAATGAAAAACCAAACACATCTAGACAGACATAATTATGTATAAATAATCCGGAATAGTTATTAACTTGAAATATTTTGGAATGCATTTTGATTTTTGAATTATATGAATATTATTCTGGTATCGCGCCAAAGATTTTACCGATACCAGTTTCACATCAAACATTGCCAATAGCTGTTTTTATTCAGGCAATGTTTTCACTATTTTTAGTTCATTTCTTTATTCAAATTTAAATTCTCATTGTATTCGATTAATGATTAAAATTTATTGTGATGGATCAATGAGAATGGAAATATTCTATCGTTCATGTGTATAACCCAGAAGGTTATGCATTCTTCTGATTTTTCGTTTGTTTTTTAGTTTCCGCTTGTTCCGATGTTTAATTACGGACAGCAAAACTTACCATACCTGAATTCACACTAGATTCTTTGGCTAGGCTATCGTTCCAAAACTGCTCTGGTTCAAGAATAGAAATAATTTGAATCACTTTAATGAGCATTTTGGAACACAAAAACAAAAATCATATAAGTGTAAAATCAATTTGATGAAAATTCATAAGGAAACTTTCCCATTCTCCAAAAGAAAATCCATCAGAGTTTTGATTCATGACATTTTCATATCAAATATGATTCGTACAATGAAGATTCCAGATCTTCTCTCATAATATTCGTGCACTACTTGCGTTCTACGAAAAATTATCGGTAATTTTCATTGCACTAGTTATATGTATTATTAATGATTTGACATTATGCATTCTGAAACGAAGTTGGCAGCTACCAGTCACTGTCAGAAATCGAAATTCTACCGTTATCTGGATTCAAGCTGGTGTACCCTTACAACATATCATTCTTTAGGGGCCTACATGTGTTGAAAATAACAATTGAGTTGTTTACTATCCAAAAGAGAAAGAAGAAACTTCTAATGTTCTGGTATTTATATTTTATAACAATCCTAAAAATGTAATGATCTCGAAAAGGTCCGATCTCTTTTCTTTACCGAAAACGAGGTTCCTAGTAGCACATTGCAAACGGATCTCTATCTCTCATTTTGAGTAAAAAAAAATGTTGGTATCGATATAATCAGACTCTTCTATATTCCGACATGGTAAGGTTGGTAGCATTGCTAGACAGAAATTGAAGTCCTCTTTTATCTCTTTTAGCAGAGTAAACAGGGGTGTGTTTTTCATTCCATCAAAGAAGTCCGCACTGATAGATGCGCTTTTTTGTCGTGACGTCATCAATTTTCTGATGGAATATATGATGGAACCGATGCTGCAATGGAATATACAACACATTGATGGAAAAACGGATTTCGTTGTGTGTCAGTCTGTCATGTATCTTCAGAATCAGAAGAGGCTGATACGATTTTATTGATTAACACTAACTTCATCTTCTGAAATCTCTCAAGAATCTCAAAAATTTTCGATATCTTTTGTTTTCTATCAAATAAAAAAAAACAAGACTTAAAATGTGTCAGGTTATGTCAATCTCCTCCAAACCGCTGGATTCTCTCAAAGTAAATTGAAAGGGTGCATTTTATAACAACAGTTTTATGGATTTCCATCAACATTTCATTGGAATTTTGCCACAGTTCGATGGTTTCTTCGATTTATGTGCATGACAAATTGTTGGAATGAAAAACACACCCCAGTTTAATCGCCCAAATCCGTTTTGCACAATCATACATAGGCGATTCCTATAGACCAATCAGAACAATCCAAGAAGCGCCTGCGTGCTGCGTGTTGAGCAATGTCTTATTAACAAATAATCCGTGTACGGGTAACTGCTTTTGTCGACTAAATTCTTTCTTGCAAGGGAATATTCTCAGAATCGTGATTGGGTTTTCTCAATTCAGAATTACTGTCCACGACTTGATGATGAAGATCAACTCATCATACACTGTAAATAAATTCTTTCTTCATGCAATAATTTTAAAGTAATTTTCCGAACAATGGACTTTTTGGTGAGAAGGTTCATTTAGGCTAAGTGAGGTTGGAATGTTTGAAAAAAGTAGTCTCCCTTCTTATGCAAAAGGGATAATATGGCATTTCAGAAAGCATCAATTGTATTTCAGAATAGTCAATTTAATTTCAGAAAGGGTCAATTGTATTTCAGAATAGTAACTTGTATTTCAGAAAGCGTCAATTGTATTCCAGAATAGTCAATTGAATTTCAGAAAGCGTCATTTGTATTTCAGAAAATATCATTTGAATTTCAGAAAGCGTCAATTGAATTTCAGAAAGCATCAAGATCGATTAGTTAGTAGAAAGTGCACTCCATGTAAGAATGCGTAGGATGTTCAGTGCTTCATGTAGTGATGTTTTCAATTTAATCACCCCAAATTTCTTTTTTATGTACCTTTAGGTAAAGTGTATTTCACAGTAAATGGTATTGACTAAAGGATTATAATAAAATCAATTAGACCCTTAAGTTGTAAAATCCGAGATGCACATCATTAATGTAAAAGGACCGGATTCAGGTAATTTTGTTTCTCAGAGAGGGATTGTAGAGGATTACAGCTTACACTTCTTGTTCATTTTAGTCTTTGTATTTCATTGGAAGTGTTCACTTGTGTTTCGGCGTGCAATAATTTTATAACATTTATTTGTTATTACAGACATCAATAGTTAAGTTAAGAAATATATCTATATGCAAAGGAATGATCAAAGCTGAAAGACTATGAATTTCCTTTTTTCTTTTTTTTTTCACTGTTTTTATTTTCCCCCTTCTTGTTCACTATAATATGACTGTATCTTAATGATATGTAAGTTTTGTTCACTATTTGTAATTTCAATTATACAACAGTCGATAATACTTCATGAATGATCTTATACCAGGAATAACTGTCTGATCATTCATGTCATTCCTACTAGAAAATTAATTATACTTTATATATTATTTGTATGAAATGTATCAATGAAGAAGAGAATGTAATGCAATAACTGAAATAAATAAATAAATAAATAAATATGACAGGGTAAATAGCAAAGATTTTATACCCCAACGTACAGAATTGGCAGTATGTGGCGTCCGTGGATAAAAAGTAATAGTGCTTCTTCCAGTGGTTCGTTAAAGAATAATCACTTATCTTGTGACGCGAAAATCGTTATAAAAAATGTGTATAGTTCCTTACTTCAGCAAGGATATGACGCGGGTGCTGCAGCAAAAGTAACCAGTAATTTGACGAAGATGCCTCTTACTTCAGTTAGACGAATTGTTGAAAATCCCATGGAATCAAGAAAAAAGCGTAAAGATTCCGGTGTCACAAAAAGTCTAGACGACTGGGAAAAAGATCTGATAAGGCGAAAAATCTACACTATGTACGATGAGCAGCGTGTCTCTACAATCAAAAGTCTAAAACACCGGCTCATCATTGACGAAACTCAAATCAACTGTAGCCTCACTACTCTTTGGCGAGTTCTCTGTTACCCAACATTCCGCCAAACAGCGTTATAGTAATGGACAACGCAAGCTATCATAGTCGACAATTGCAAATCATTCCTGGCTCAAAGAATACGAAATTGGAGATTCAAGACTTCATGGCTGCAAATGACATATATTTTGAGGAAAATTATACAAAAAAAGAACTTCTACAAGTGCTGCAGTCATTTTCTTTAATGAAAACGTATGTTTGTGATACAATTGCAGAAGAATTGGGACATACAGTGTTACGACTACCTCCCTACTACTGCGTGTTCAATCCCATAGAGCTTATGTGGCACCAACTTAAATCGAGCGTGCGCGGAAAAAATACTTCTCCGACTTTAAGTGGTAGTGTGGTAGAATTAATTAGGACCTGTATGAATGACATTCCTACCGAGAGTTGGAAAAGTTCTGTTAGTCATGTTATAAATGTTGAAAACTCGTACCTTTCTGTAAAATCAATTGCGCCAATTATAATTAATTTAGATGAGGATAGTGATAGCGACACTGAACTAAATATAAAATAGAATTGTAACATTTGAATAAATTACTTGTATATCCTATATTATGCAAAATTCAAATCTCTTAAGTTCGACCCTGTAGCACATTTGCATCTTTCACCTGACGATTTTCCACACAATGGGATTGAATCGGGTAGTTTATTGCAGTTAATAAGCCAATACCATTTACTGTGAAATATACATTACCTATATATTATTTGATGAACAGATTACAGAATTTCAGGTATGATGGACTATCATAGATACACTTATTATTCCTATTGCTATGAAAAAGTTCTGATTTTTACATGTTTGTCCAACAGGAAGTGACTGATGGCTGTTTCATACTGTAAAATAGGCTTCTTAATAACATTTACAAAATCAAGCTCTGTTGCTATGATATTTCCACGATTTATAAAGTTGTCTGGCAGGAGAACACCCCGTGGAAAGTGCCTGGCAATTGTATATTCTCTTTCATGATAGGATCCGATTGAACATAAAAAGATCAGCTTTTGTTGAAATGATGTTTTTGCCAGTTTTTTTGTTCATACTTTCAACACCCGTTATCTCTTGAAAGCCCATCCAGTACTGAAGATTTTTAACCCCCAAAACGATTCCACCGAATAAGCAATAACACACATAAAAAATATCAACCTTGTTGAAATGACGTCTGGCGGTCGCTGGCTTTCAGTCTATAGAGAACGATTTCTGAAATTCTATTGACTATTCTGAAATACAATTGATGCTTTCTGGAATTCAATTGATGCTTTCTGAAATTCAAATGATACTTTCTGAAATACAATTGACACTTTCTGAAATACAATTGACACTTTCTGAAATTCAATTGACTATTCTGAAATACAATTGATGCTTTCTGAAATTGAATTGATTATTCTGAAATACAATTGACGCTTTCTGAAATTGAATTGACTATTCTGAAATACAATTGATGGTTTCTGAAATGCAAGTGACTATTCTGAAATACATTTGACGCTTTCTGAAATTGAATTGACTATTCTGAAATACAATATACGCTTTCTGAAATACAAGTGACTATTCTGAAATTAAATTGACGCTTTCTGAAATACATCTGGAAAAGGTGTAGTTCTAGCTTTTTCACTGATGAATAAAAAACAATGACCTTGCATGATCAAACCTCTGAGTTTTAAGTGAATCGAGATGTTGAACATCTTTGAATTGCTCTCCTTTAAAATTAAGAAAACTGAGATACGTCACTACGTGAGATGACCGTCGATATGTTTGGGCAAAACGGATTCGTGTAGTTTAATCGAAAAGTGCCTACACCATCTTACTTCCATCTTGGACTGTGTGCGCCCCCACCTAGATGAACCACTCCTTCTTCTTCTGGACGTGGTGGCCGGTGGTACCGTGCACGACGGCCGTGTCGGGATCCAGCGCCGAATCGGCGCCGGCGTCCTCTTGCGTCAAGTACTCGCCCTTGTGTCGATGCAGGTACCGGCCGATGATGATGAGCAGGATGACGAGCGCGATGAAGATGATCGCCAATATGCCTGGAAATAAACGAGGACCGTTTACTATCTATTTATTCATTACTAGCTGGCCCCGCAAACGTTGTTTTATTAGATTTACCATATTGAATTCCCTAATTTTGACGAAGGAATCATAGTTTCTTATCCCGAAAACGCCCACTTACATCAAATGTTTTTTTTTATTTGATATTCTATATGACGATTAGAAAACACATAGAAGGAGCCGAGGAAAGAGCATATTTGAGATGATTATCGGATATTGATACGCTACAAAAATTATCGCCATAAACCAGGAAAAAATACCAATTTGGTACAAAATTACCCCACTTAGTATTACGAAGGTTAAATGATATGAGAAATATTTTGAGAAATATTGTTGAAACTTACTTCCTAAAATTGCCGAATCCACTTGATTATACGCCCTTCTCAATTTCTCTTCGTCAAGAATAGGCGGTGGCCTGGTCTCAACCATATCCGGAGGATGGGTAATCGGTTCCACCCCACAATAATCTTCGGTCAATGGAGCTGAAAACATATATTATCGAGAACTGTACAAGGTTGTTTGTTGATATTTACGTAATTTTTAATGCCGCAATGAGGCCTTTTTACGGCCCTTATCAGAAGTTTTACTTGGTGATCTCTAGAAGCAAGACAAACCACACATATCCATTATTCCGCATATGTATATACAGCGTGTCCCATAAGTCATGGATCAAAATAAGTAAGGTGGTAGAGAGGGTCACTTTCCATCAAACTAACCGTATACGTTGTTATCCAATTGTTGATGGTTCAAAATTTTTTTAAAAAAAATTCATTTCTATAACACATGTCACATTTGTGATTTTTTATTTTACAAAACGAAAATAAAAACGAAGAAGGCTGTGAAAAGACCTCATTGCGGCATTCAACTTCCTCATATTTTTTATGTCTGAGTGAAAAATAACGAATGAGTGTGGTATAATTCTCGAGGTGAATATCTTAGGAAATAAAGTTTATATGAACAAGTGTTCCGAGTTGCTTCGTTTTGGAGATACAGGACGTTGAAGTTGGTGCCGAAATTCAGTCCAGTTGGTGCCTGACAATGTTTCAAATTTCAGAGAATTTGAGAGCACCGACATTAAAATTTGGCGTCAAATCGAATTTTCATTGTTTACTCCAATACTAAGTGAGATACAAAAGTATCACAGGGGGCGAGACAGTTGTATTTTCAATTGTTCAATTTGATGAGAATATGAAACTATTATTTATGGTATTTACCACAAATATCGGTAAGATAACCCATTGCAATGATAAAATTTTCATTCCCATTCTAATCGGAGAGCCTAAAGATTTTGATCCATGACACATTATGGATGCATGCATTTTCCCTCGCAGAAAAACTTCAAATTATTGATGAGAGCGTCTGGGTCTCGAAAAAAAGAGAAAACGTCCTTGAAATTTTAAATCACTACACCAATGATCACCAAACTCAGCCTATACAAAAAACACGAATCCAAACAGATCACGTGATGGTTTGAAAGATTTCTACACTCCTAATCAAATTAAACAAGGAAGCTACATGTTACTATTACTATTACCATAATCAACAAGTTCCATTGAAATTGAAAAAAAGACTTGAGTAATTAATAAAGAATCGAATTTTCAAGGAAACATTGACACCCTGTATCTTGAAAAGGGGGGGCATGTTAGGACAAATGTTTACATGAACTTTTTTTCATAAAATATGACAAGAAATATTACTTATTCATACACATCCTGAATACAGACCTCCTAATTCTCTAAGGTGGCTCATCCCTACAATATTTTTTGAGATATCTAGCTGCTTTGCCGTACAGGGTGATTCACCATAAATGTTCCCCATCTAGCTAAGTTATTTATGAACCGATCCCAAGATTAAAAAAATTATTTGAAATGATTTTTGATACTTTTTTTTCGCAATATAAAAAATACAGGATACTCGGAACAACCGATCTACAGGGTACTAGTTCACTTTTTAAATAGAACACCCTGTATTTCATCGCATTTTCAATTCATTACTGAAGAGCTGTTTTCATCAATGTAACACACTTGAGTTCTAGGAAGAATGATAACAGAGATATAAGGAGTTCAAAATCGAGATTTTTCAACTTTAGGATTTGTTTGTGTGGAAACTATTCATTATCGGTCAAAACGACTTCCTTTCTTTACTTTTGATCTACAATCAGTATCACAGGCTGATTAAAATTCTGGATCTTGTACCACCCTGTATCGTTCCAATTAAATATCAGTAGATAGTAAATCAAGAGATAACATAGGGCTATGTGACTCGTTATGAACAATAATAAATAGATTAGACACAAAAAAATTGTTCAATTGAAAAATCTTGATTTTGAACACCCTATATCTCTGGAATCGTTCCCGCTAGACCCTGTAGATCGTTCGTTCCGAGCATCTCGTATTTTCTTATGTTGCGAACAAAAAATTTTGAAAGATTACTTAGGATGATTTTTGTTCGGGGAGATCACACGGTAACCAATCTGCTGACCTACCAGGGTTTCCTGTTGGATGCCTTGGAGAGGGGCGAGTTGGCGAGGGACGAGTTGACACAAAATTCTATTAGAGAAACTTCGTTCTTTTGGTTTTGCGGATAATATCGTGAAATGGCTACGTATTTTCCTTAATGGCCGCTCTCAAAGAGTTAAAATCAATAACTATAGATCTAACGATAATCTGGTCACATCAGGTGTCCCTCAGGGCTCTCACTGTGGACACTTACTATTCAATCTTTTTATAAATGAAATTTCCAATGTATTCAAAAGTGCAAGCTTCTTAGTTTTTCCTGATGACTTAAAAATGTTTCGCATCATTAGAGATGTCCTAGACAGTCAAATTCTTCAAAATGACCTTGACAACCTTTATCTGTGGTGCGTCCGTAACAATATCGACCTAAATACCGATAAATGTCTTACAATATCGTTTTCCCGTTCTCATAATGTTGCCTTATATAATTACTATACAGTGTGTCCCACTTACCATGCTCACCATGGGTATCTTTTTAACGGTGAGAGATACGAGGTCGGTTAAATGACACCAAATGTGGAGTTTGTCAAGGCCAACTAGAATGTGAAAAAATATTTTGATAAAATCTATTCGTTTTTGTTTTATACGCAAAAAACAGATTTTGATGATCATTTTCATGTGTCCTCCGTAACTTCTTTATTTATGAAAATATTCAAATAGGAATTTCATATTGGCATGGCATGGCAGTTTTTCAAAGTGATTTTGAAAAAAAATTTGAAATTTACACCAACTCTTCTAGAATTTGAGATATCAGCACCAACTTAAGTTTTTCAAATGTAGGTCATAGCTCACTATGACTTAGTTACAAATAACTTTTTTTCCTCTTTCAGATGATATGTTGCAGTAATAGTTTTGTGTTGATAAGAACGGAGTTATCGTCATTTATACAAAAACAAAAAATTATTTGGAAGCCGCCATCTTGAATTTATAAATTTTAATAAGAAAATCATGATCTCCGACCTCAAAAACCCCGACTTACCAATTTTGAATGGAATCGGACCAAATCTTATCCGCCATCTTGGAGCAGCCATTTTTTTTTTTAATTTCAACAAAAATTCCATAATGTATTGTCCCGAAATTATGAACACCTGCCTAATTTCAAGTTGATCGGAGTCATGGAATTTTTGTTGAAATAAAAAAAAATGGCTGCTCCAAGATGGCGGACAAGATTTGGTCCGATTCCATTCAAAATTGGTGAGTGGGGGTTTTTGAGGTCAGAGAGCATGATTTTTCTGTTAAAATTTATAAATTCAAGATGGCGGCTTCCAAATAATTCTTTGTTTTTGTATAAATGACGATAACTCCGTTGTTATCAACACAAAACTATTACTGGGACATATCATCTGAAAGAAGAAAAAAAGTTATTTGTAACTAAGTCATAGTGAGCTATGACCTACATTTGAAAAACTAAAGTTGGTGCTGATATCTCAAATTCTAGAAGAGTTGGTGTAAATTTCATATTTTTTTCGAAATCACTTCGAAAAACTGCCATGAGAATGTGAAATTCCTATTTGAATATTTTCATAAATAAAGAAGTTACTGTTACGGAGGAGACATTAAAATGATCAAAATCTGTTTTTGCGTATAAAACAAAAACGAATAGATTTTATCAAAATATTTTTTCACATCATAGTTGGCCTTGACAAAATTCACATTTGGTGTCATGCAACCGACCTCGTATCCCTCACCGTTAAAAAGATACCCATGGTGAGCATGGTAAGTGGGACACACTGTATATAATATAATTACAATATTAACAATATATTCTTGAAAAAAGTAACCGAGATTAAAGATCTTGGAATCATCTTTGATGAACGTCTCACCTTCAAGAGCCATCTACTGAAAGTATCGGCATCTGCCAATAGAATGGTAGGTTTTTTATCGCAAAATACAAACAAAAAAAAATTCATGCAACACATCGTATATTTTGTACTGCTCCCTTGTACGTTCCTTATTGGACTATGGCTGTATGATTTGGTCACCATACTATTTATTTATTTATTTATTTATTTATTTCAGTTATTGCATTACATTCTCTTCTTCATTGATACATTTCATACAAATAATATATAAAGTATAATTAATTTTCTAGTAGGAATGACATGAATGATCAGACAGTGATATCACACTAATCGAACAAGCCCAAGTTAGATTCGCCAAACACATATCCTACAAAATGGAAACTTACCATCATTTCAACTATTCGGATACTCTTGATGAACTAATTTATCTGTCCGTCGATTCAGGCTAGGTAGTCATACTATGTTTAAGATTATCTCAAGTGAAATTGATTGCTATGAACTTCTCAATAGGATTAACTTCAATGTTCCCTCATATTTTACTGGAAACACAGAATTATTTGTTATAAATAATCATAAAACCAACTATGGGTTCTTCAGCCCTTTCTCCCGCATTTTGCATAATTTCAATGCATTTAACATTGTGACCCGTTCGTTCAGTCTTCAGCCATATTTAAAAATAGAATTTGTAAAATTGATCCTGAGTTAATCAGTCACCATTAATTTAGTTGATACTTTTTTTTCTCTTTTCCCTTTTTTTATTCTCTTTGGGCATAATGTAATTTTTCAACCTAATGGCTGTAAATATTAAATAGTTTCCACAACAAGTTGTAGTGTTTACAAAAAGTGAAATTTATGTTATTGTTGAATTTCATTTGTTGATGCTGTGATGTTATTGTCCTTATGCCATCTTGAGTATATATAATTAATTTCTATTGTAGAGGTGAATCCGTTTGTTAAATAAATAAATAAAACAAAATACAGACACAGTTAATTGCAAGAACCGATGATGGCACTATTATAAAGATATAGTATTCTGTATTTGAATAGGACATCCTATATATTTTTACTTATTTCGATCGAGCCACCTTGGAGAATCACCCGGGGTGCGATATTACTAAATATACTGCACGCTAGCACAAACCACGCCCACCGTAATACGTCATATCTCCAAACATCACCGATATATTCGGAGTCAGCACATCGTACTAAATATACTGTGCACCAACGCGAGAATTCACTTTTTATGATTTTGACACGAATTCGACTGAAGCTCTCTCGTTGTCTATCTCTTGTATGCAGTATATTTATATACCCAAACGGTCTACTGGTTAGCGCTGTCGACTTTAAGTCTGAAGGTCCATGGTTCAAATTGCTGTGAACTTAAACTTTTTTGCAACTTTTTTTTTTCACCAATGTTTTTTTACTTCATTCTCGTTTTCCTTCTTCAGAAAATATTTGAAGTTAAATAGGTTAGTGTGTTTAAGATGAACAGTCTCATTTTATTCAATTTTGTTGAAGAACTTAACTTTTGAAATATATTATTAATCAATGTGTTTTTACACTCCATTCTGGTTTTCCTTCCTCAAAAATATTGCAATCAAGAATAGGTTAGTTCGTTGAGGATAAATAGTCTCTGAATTTTGCCTAAGTACTTTGAAGATGAGATATTACGGTGGGCGTGGTTTGTGCTAGCGTACAGTATATTTAGTAAAATCGCACCCGGGGTAGATACATTGACAACAACAAATCACTTACTTCCCAACGACCTGACGTTCCCAGGCCCGTGCTGCTGGAACAGCAACTTCAGCGGGTAGATGTCGTCGAACTCCACGCGCGATATGCACCCGATGTAACCCTCGGTCATCGATTCGTTGCGCCCGATGTACATGTACTGAATGTTGTTGAACTGCGCGTCCGCCGACGCCTTGATGTTGAAGTTGAACTCTCGGGGCTCGTAACCGTCCACCTGCATCACCAGAGTGGCGCCCCCATTCTTCCTCGACAGCTGGAACAAGAGTTATTATCATAGTGGAAGGAGAAGATGGTGTGCCTAGGCGCATATTGTCACGAGTAGAACATTCGGTATATTAGTATGTAATTTCGAACCATGAGGGTTTTATAAACATAAAGTTAATCAAATCATCCGTTGACATTGAACTATGAAAACTGACCAAGGAGCTCTCATGAGAAACGTGCAAATATAATAAAATGATGTATATAAATATTGGACGTGAGGGTTCCAAAGTTGGTCTGGTCTGGGGCTACTCTTGACTTGACAAGAGCTCGTCGTATGGTCATTATAATGTAAGTTGTTATTAGGTCTCTATATTCATTGTTGTTGATTCATATTTTTATCATCACTACTCATAATGTACCATGCATTAAAAAATATTGTTATGTTTGACAATAGTATCGAAGTTTCAGCTACCCCTAAACTATTAGTGCCTATTTGAATATTAAAAGTACTGTATCGTCTTCCATATGGCACCCCATCAAATCAACTTTATGAAGAAACAAATACATTTTCTTTGGAAGAGCACTATCTGATAAATACTCTCAAAATTTCTTTCGATATTATCAACAAGCACCTCAAATCTAACTTCATATTGGTAAGGAATTCTCAAATCCATGAACATCATACTAGACAATATGACTTGTTTCATCTTGATGCTGCTAATTCTACACTTGGCCAAAAAAAGTTTACTCACGGAACTATCTCAAAATTCAATAAATTACCTGATGATAATTCAATAAATTACATGATGATATCAAAAGTTGCACAAATATCACCCAATTCAAAATGATAGTCGAGAAACATATCCTCTTGCAAAGAGAAAATCAAACCTGAGTGAATGATTTCTCATTCACTAATTCATTTCATGTCATAATGTACTTTTCATGAGTTTTTTGTTTTATTATTATTATTATTGAATCTGTTGTTCATTTCAATAATTATAATTTAATTTAATAACGCATGAATAATCTCATACCAGATATGAATCTGTCTGATTATTCATGTTATTTCATTGTAAATGTTAATGAATATATTTATATTTATATGAGATGCATTGTAATGTTTATAGCAGAGAATGAAATAAATATATTATTATTATTATAACATTCATAACATAACCTCAAATCAAATAAGATTAAATTTGAAAGTACGAAATTGTAATTTTGTGGAATTTTACTTATCATCAGTTCTACCAACCTTGGATTTTGGTTGAGATATCGTCATCTAACGGGTAAAATGCGATATTGAAAAGAATCCTTCTGTCAAGTAGGCCGTAGGTCAAGAACTTTGACCGAAAAACAGTAGATGGGATTTGATAGAAGTTTTTACACCATCTTCTGTTCATCCTGTCAAAGACAGATACCGTTGCCATATGCGTGAGCTATGAATTCAAATAAGTTTATTGGAATTTTTATGATATTCTCGATCTGTCTAACAATAAATCAATTTATCTAAGTAGGTACCTATTGCTCTGATTTCACTATTCCATTGATTCTGGAATTTGTGATCTTGCAATAATTCGCAATGGCAAATAGCAAATACATACGAATTATCGTGCATTGCCAATCCCATCGAATGATCCACCATTGTGTCGATTCTGACATATTAAAATTCAGCAGTTAACGACGTTGACGTTGCTTCTGTTTTGACATCGACAACAGGAGTAACATTTTTTGCCGTTTTGTTATTCAAATATTTGCTGAAATTTATATTTTGTGAGAAATTAATTCAATTATTTCTAACTTAATATTCGACGGAAGATGTTCTGAAGGAATAGCATCTTGTTTCAAATATTCGTAATTTTTTGGAGGTGTGTGATTCAACAACAACTTTACTTTCAAACATGTTTGAGAACATTTTGCATGGAAATGTTTCGAACAAATATGTGCTGTAATATGAATGTGATAATATGATAGGTGAATACTTTGGAATGAGGATATAAGGTAGGTACCATTATTTGAGCTTCGGTCGGCAGCAAGCTTTCACCCATCGTTTCATTAGGTCTCCATTCTTGGAAAAACAGAAAAATTCAATATCTGTGCCTTTTGTATATTAGTTGGAATTTCCATAACCAGAAACGAAACAAGTGGGCATTTTGAAATCATTTCATTCAATTGCAGTACTTGTATAATATCTGAAGTTTGGGACATCGATCACGAAAACAAATAATAACAATGTGCAACACTCTTTTTAAGTGTAATTTGTGTTGTGGGATACTTTGGTTTGATTTTTATAAAAAAGAGATGATTGTTGTACGTAAAACTTCGACAGACAGGCAGAGCGGAATTTATACAGGGTGGCTCATGATAATTACAAATGACAGTTATATCCCAGTTGACGTCATGCGCAGAACAAGACGAGTTTGAGCTTTCTGTCGAGCACACCATATTCTCCTTCCACTATGGTTATTATCAAATTTCATTATAGTCCAAGATCCCATGAACGCCAGACATTCGACCTCCGTTATTTTACAGGGCTCGGCAACAGCATTGAATGGTTTTGAAAAGGTTGCTGTGGAAATACTGTTTATTTGACAAACAATGGCAAATTGGTCGGTTAATCAACGGATCTTTGCTGTGAAATCATTTATCCTGACCCAGTCCATCGTGCAAAGCCAGAGGCGTTTTCGCCGTGAATTTAATTTGGCAGTGCCAGCTGAAGTCCTATCAAGAATTGCAATTTTGAGTTTACACTACCTTTTTCGTCTATATCTCTTACCCATCTCAAAATTGTATTGCTTGATGGGACTGCCAAATTAAATTCACGACGAAAACGCCTCTGGGTTTACACGATGGACTGGGTAAGGATTAATGATTTTACAGCAATGAGCCGGTGATTAACCGGCCTATTTGTCATTGTAACACAAAACCTTCAATAATAAAATACAATTTCATTACTATTTGACGTTTGTCAAATGATCAGTATTTACCCAGCAACACTTTCAATGCTGTTCAATATTTGATTGTGAAGTCCTAGCACCTCCAATACACGAATAAAACGACTGATACAGAAGTGCTTTTGCATTTACAACAATTCACTTCGTGCCTATATTGTTGTTGCCTCCTGTAGACTAACAATTTATTTTTATTCACCCCTGACTTTTTAACTTTAGGCATACTTAGTGTTGAAAGTATTATCTTGTTATCTTTTTCATCATGCATAAACTGTATTGTTTTATTGGATGAATATGTGAATAAATTATTATCATTATAAAAGCTGGAAGTTTCTCAGCGCTTGCTCCCAACATAGGTAAGAACAATGGGCAAATATGAAATTTAGGTCATGATGCCCTTGGGAGGTTACAGGGAGCAAAGGTGCTGGGATATTTAGTTTCAATCATCTCCTGAAGATGCTAACATAGTAGTGAACACGTGTCGGAGCATTTAAAAAATCGGTTTGGTTAGTGGTGAAACAAAGCAACGTTTCCGATCACGGCATATTGCTACTCACCCTCAAATCGTGGTACTGCCCAAGACCGAAGTGCTTGTCCGGATAGATCACTTCTTGACGCTCGAAGCCGAAATCGAAGACTATACGCAGGTGGCCCGAGTTCGAGACCATTATGGTGAGATATTCGCCGGTGATGTTCGACACGAAGCCTAGAAGGAAGCCCTTGGGGTTGGTGGTGGTGAAGCCGACGCGGATGTGCTCGGATATCGTCGACCTGGAATACAGAAAACGTATTAACATTCAAAGCAAATAGGTATACGATGATGATCAAAATATATTGTAACTATTATTTATACAGGATTGAGATAAAATATGGAGTAAATATCTCTGAAATGAAAAATTAGGAATTTATGAAACTTTGCATATCAGTGCAATGACGCAAGATGCATCTGCGGTGATTGTTTTTGGTAATAAATCATTTCCGGTTCAACTCGAAATATACTCAATTTTTTAATTCAAATGGGACACTTTGTTTTTTGCAAATCTTGATAGTTCTTGATACCTATTTCGAGTTCGTACATACTGGGTTCAGTGGGAATAATAAACATGATTATCATTAGTTCTTTTTTGAATTTATAAATGTTCATAACATTTTCGCTTTCACTTACAATTTTTCATTCACCATATCAATTCACTACAGTCCCTTCCAACTGATAGCAAATTCCATTGGCAGAAACTGGTGGAGTTGCTGGCATTTCGGAAGAAGAACCGGAAGTCCACCATATTGGATTTCGATGTCATCAAATCCGAAATGGTTGCTTACATGACTGTACCAAATTTCAGAAAACCGGTATATTTATTTCGTCAGTGTAAACATTCCTGCAGAGGCAGCACTACCTATCATCTCATTATTGGAATGTAGTATAGTTTTTTGATTATTATTTATAAATACACTGCCGTGCGAAAAAACCGGTCACTAAATAAAGTTATTATTGTACTTGTCATTATATTTCAGTAGTAGGTAACTGAACGTGAGATATACTGCAATTTTTGAAAGGCAAAGATAACCGCGAATCGTTGAGATCAAAGCAACTTTTAGCAAGAAATTTCAAGCTTGAACCAGATAATTTCATTGCTAAAATGAAAAAAAAAATGTTTCCATTCGATTCACCTGAAAGACCCTTCAAAATCGTATCTGATCAACGAGCTCTTCCGCATATTAACCCCAATGTCATCAGCGCAAATCGACCACATAGCTGTCATATCTTTCGTGACAGGTGCCTTTGTTCAGGCACTGATCGCTCTGACACTTGCCCACACACCTCTCAGTGATGCTGAAGATGCCCATGCGGGCCCCAGAATGCAAATGGATGTTTTGCCACTGAATTTATTAATGTTCATTTCCACTTACAATTCTTCATTTGTCATATCAGTTCACTATAGTTCATTCCAACTAAGAATACAGCATTTGAAACCATAGGGATCGTTGACCTTCGCTTTGATTCGTTAATATTGGAGGCAATAATAATACTCTTGCCTAATATTATGACTTACGACGTGACGTAAAGGTTGGAGTTTTCTTCATGGGAAGATGATCACATCATCACATCTCATTCATTTGTCGTTATTCTTCATGTTACAACAAATTCTGAGAATAAACTCGAACCCAAAGTGGAATTCAATCATTAGAATAGCCATGATTTTAAATTGAGCGCCATATATTCATTTCGTCAGTGTATACATTCCTTCAGAGGCAGCACCACCTACTATCTTCGTTTCTGTTTACCAGATTCACATGTGACAATTGTTGATCTCCAGTTATTCGTTTATGGTTGTTTTGCTAGTTGATCATCGTTAGTTTTCATGATATAAATATTAGCAACGACACCAATATGATATGAATAAGAAGTTTATGAGGTTATGTTGTCTTTTTCTTCTATTTTTTTTATTCGTTAACTATACTCTCGTATGTTACCCTTAGTTTGTCGCTCCGAATATTAGAAAATGTTCAATTTTGACAATGAAAACGACTTGAACATTATCAATCGCCATTCTAACAGCGTTTGCATAGACTTAGAGAGTTCTTAACTTATTTCATTGAAATTTTCCCATTTGAGAGCCAAAACAGGAAGAAAAAAGCAACAAACTGTCTTCTTGTGACTCACCTGAAAGACCCCTCGAAATCGTATCTGATCAACGAGCTCTGCCGCATATTAACCCCGATCTCGTCGGCGCAAATCGGCCCCTTGAACGCGGTCCACCGACAATCACACACATAGCTGTCATATCTTTCGTGACAGGTGCCGTTGTTCAGGCACGGATCGCTCTGACACTTCCCTATGCAGCCCTCCGCGATGCCGTAGATGCCCATGCGCGCGTACTGGCCTAAATCGACCTGCCGCCCGTTGATTATTAGGGCCCTGATGCAGCCCGTGAAGCCGTCCCTGAATTCGGTGGAGGCGCCGATGACCAGGTCGGAGGTGAGGTGGAGCGCCCTGACAGGTCCTGGAGGTTCTCTGACCTGTAACGAAGTTGTTCTGTGTGGTCTTCATTTTATTTATTTATTTATTTCTTCTGTGACGGAAGAATAGTTTGGCATTTCGTCTCTGTTGGCAGGTTATAAAATGTCACTTTTCATAAATTACTTTTTTCCCGTGGGAAAAAAGTGAGTACTTTTCTCCCGGATATATATCACATATATATATATACCCTGTTGATGGCTTTTGTTGTGCTATGGTTCCAAAAAATGAGTCAACTGCAAGTCCTTTTATATTCCATTCGACTTCGCGGTTACGTATATTACTAAACAACCACTAAATTCGCCATTTTTCGAAATCAAATCACAGAATCAGACTGACAGAAGTGACATCAGATATTTGATTACTTCAGAAGAATGATAAAGATGCCTACAACGCAGATGTCCCTACTTTTTTAAAACTTGAAATTTCACGTCGATTATTTTTATATTTCAAAATAATGTAATATCTTCTCAATATTGATTCGTCCTTTCTTCTGCCACAGAAAAAAATAGTGTAATATACACGGGAAAAATATTAGATTTTCCCTTGTATAATAAATAACTATTTTTAAATTCTAACGAGTCTATGTTATTATTATATTTTATAACATTTAGATCCCACGCCGTGTTCAATACCGGTGGAATACGTATTCAACTTTTTGAGAAAAAAGAGATACAATCAGATAATGTGTTTGAAAAAACGATATATTGAAATTTGTAACACTTTGTATAACAGAATATATGGTTAAATATGTTTGAGATGTTCTCATCTACCACCCCCTTTCAGATATACGTCGGTGAACCAGACACCCTGTATTATTTTGAATTATTATGATCATGCCACCAAAGTTTTGACACAAAAAATTGCAAGTGGTGAGTTCCCCCATTAATAACTATGAAACCGGTAGTCGAGAGAGCAAGACGCTGAGTTCGCATGGGGACTTCCACCGAGGCATAGGTTTGAGATTGATGAAATAAACCTCTGGTGCGCTCACTCTTCATTTGTTTCGTCAGACGATGACGTGGGGTTCACATATTGATTGTTAGATGACGTGATTAGAACTTATGATCAACATCAGTTCTACCAACCTTGATGCAGCTGAATCGCAAAATGTATTCCCTATCTACATATAAACAGAGTTTGTTCTAAACTAAGTACATGAAAGAAAGAAAGAAAGAAAGAATTTTATTCATCTATGAGGACTATACATTACACATATGACAAAGATATAGTACAATGCACCATCCTATCAGACTAGTCAGTTCACAAAAAACAAAATGGACAAACAACGGACAATGACATGCTATAGAATAATAATTATATCCAAAAGGAACATTATTATACATGCTGCTATATAATTAGAAATTTGAAAGAAACAGTATCCTTTGACGTACTGAGACTGTTGTATTTTGGCCTGGTACAATCAACTTTACATTATTGACTGATATTTTGGGGATCATCAGCACACTTTGAAAGGGCTTTCATCGCTCAGAAAAAAATCATGAGAACCATGTTCAATGTTCATCCACCTGTAATAATCTCTTCACTAGAGCACAAATAATGACTTTACCTAGCCTATTCATCTATTGCTTAGTTATCTACATTCGAGCTAATGAACATAAGTTTGAGAAGAATGAGGATATACACTCGCATAATACAAGATCAAAATGTGATATTCATCAAACTTACTCACGAGAACAAATATGTCAAAATTCACCTAATTACATCGGAATTAAAATATATAATAAGTTTAAACTCATATACGAAATCATCATTGCTAAAAAAGATTATGAACAATTATCCGGTTATCTTGAATACGAACTGGCATCTTTATTCAACGATTCAGGTATGAGGAAGATGGCAGATATGTAATAGACGGTGTGTATCTCGTGCACCGTGTCATTTTGCATCAAAATCAGACATATCAATCAATTTGCCTAACATACGTGAACAATTTGAAGAAATATTTAGGAACAGCAGCAACGCTTCAAGCACTTAAACAGCGGAACAATGCTTGCGATCTGCGGAAAATACTAGCGTAGATATACTCTTCGATGAGACAATTGCTGCCACTGTCTCACAAGAAAAAATTCTGGGCAATGAAAATAATAAAACTCGATTGATTTCGGAGGATTCACTATCAAACATGCCAAAGATGATGCCGATACTCTAATCATCACAACAGCGATAGAAGTATCATGTAAGAAAAAGCTGTGATTGTTGGTGAGGATATAGATTTGCTCGTTCTACTCACTGCTTTAGCTCCACAAGAACGGAATATTTATTTTCTGAAACCAGGAAGGGGCAAAGTCGAATAACACGAGCTGGGGAACGATTTTTCTTGGCTATGTATGGTGCACATGTGACTGATACCTCTTTGAATAAACATCGTTTCAATATCTTCGAAAAGTCAGCGTATAAATACAAATTGAATTTGGCTTCGTTGCCTCCCACAGCTGCAGCAGCTCAACAACACTCTTTCCGTGTGTGGGTACTGCCAAGGTACATGTATGAATTCAGATACTTCGTGTGATACTGAAAAGAAGATGGACCATGAAGATGAAAACTTTTTCGTGTTTGATGCGGAGGACAAAGATGATGATCATTGATCTGCAGTACCTCAGTCATCTGCTCGCAGGACAATTAATTTTTTTTTCTATATAAGTACTTGTTTGAATAAAACATTTTTGTATACACAAGGAAATATTATATTAGTTTTCAAGTAATCACTCCAAATTATATCATTTCTCACAAAGAAACAGAGTGTATTTTTTTCGGCAATGAATACAAATATCCAAATATTTAACAGTGTATAACAGAAGAAATATGGAGAAGAGGAAAAAATGTTCTCAACCTTTTTTATGTGGAATTCAATTAGCTTCATTTTTGTAATGACTTTCAATACGATAGAATCAACAATAACTGAAATATGAGAGAAAAACTGGATTAGTGTGCTTTTTTTTCAAGATGGCGGATCGAGCCGTGCTTGTATTGGTCCGGACTTTTGGCATAATCAACAGTAGGCCAAGGTTGATGTTTCTACCAACTAATAGCTTTTTATCAATTATTTTTTCTATTTTTTCTAATATGACTGAACTAATTTGAGACCAAACTTAAAAGCTTCCTACTTTAAAATGCACTCTATTCCATAGAGCAGTTTCTTCAGTTTTGAAATGGTTTTACTTATTTTTTAATTTGTTTGTGAATGTATTTATAATGATTACTTTGAAATGATTTTTACTTATATTTTGATCTGTTTGTAAATGTATTCATATTGATTATGTTATCATTATGTTTCATTTTACAACTACTATCTACCTGTATCTTGACTCGGCTGATAAGTGTTATGCATTTTACTTATGTACAACCATTCATGCTGCTATAAATCATATCATATCATACATTGGTCACAATTCGGTCACAATTGTCACAGCATGTAATTTTGGTACGGCACCAGACTAAACTTAACGAGATTCACCCACGCCATGTTATGTTTATCGAAGTAGGCGAAAATCAAGAAATTGTAAAACAGGAAAGGATTGAAGTGCGTGCACCAGAGGTTTATTTCATCAATGGTTCGAGTCCCAGTTAAGCCATGGATGTTTGTAGGTATGGTTCCCTAACCCCGCACAAGTTTTGACTTATGGGGCGTTGGTTCCAGTCATAGACATATTAAAAGGAGGGAGACGAAACTGATTACATTTTGTCCTGATCCAACATCGTTATCAGCAGAAAACGATGACAAATTTCTGCGGATTGCTAGATCTACCGCCTGAAATCTGCTATTGAAATAATTCAAAATTTCCTAATTTCATCATTACATAAAATTATAATATAGTATGGAAATAAGTGTGGCAACGTTGTATTGGCGTGTTTACTACCAGTTTCACATATTTTCCTTAACGTCATTCACGTAATGCAAAATATGAGGTTACAGTGTTGTGCTGTGTTTGTTATCATTGTGTTTCAATTGATTTTCAGTGTTTTCTTGTTATAAAACTATATAAAGACAATTATTAAAAGTCTATTATGGTTCGCCAGTGCTTGGATTGTGAAAAAGTTCATTGCCATTTTTTGAAGCCATATCTTTCTAACTCATTTGAAACGGTGAAAGTATGTATGATTGTAAACAAATAATGTTTTATGAATGAAATGTTATGGAACCAACGAGGGAATGTAATGACAAAAAAGTGCGGGTCCTTTCTTGCCAAGCTTGGCCCACAATAATTCACGTGGGTTCAGAAACGAATTAATTTACTTCCTGCTGCTTCCTGCTTTACTTGTGAAAAACTTGTGAAAACCCAGCACTTGCTGTCCGGTATTTCTCCCATTTCGCGTAATCCGGTACCGCTGGTGTAAACAACCAATACTCTTTTTTCGTCTCTATTTTTTCTTCCTTCGGAAAATCTCCTTATCTTTGTACTGTCTCCGTGACACCCACCTTTCTTTTCATTTCTCTATACAGTCTGTATAATATTTCTTTGCGTGTGCCTGAAATTAGCATAGACCTACGCGCAACTTGCTATCCTCCTCAGACTTGCATATAGAGCAGCAATGTCTATCATGACGTTTGTTGACATAAGTTACGACATCGTTTCTGAACTCAACGGGTTAAAAGCTTGAATACAGAGGTGTTCGTATGTCGAGACACATTTGAATCGGCTAATTCAGAGGCGTGCAGTAGGTGCTGAAATGACATCGTTTTGCGTGGCCATAGTCAAATATTCAACATGCCAGGAAAACGTTTGAATTCGCAAGCACGAAGTCTTGTATCGAATTTGTTACAATATTTCACAAGAGAGAAAGATAATAATGGTCCTTTAATCCCGTTTACTTCCATACAACAGGTAAATCATAATTCTTCCTGATCAATAATAAAAATAGTCAAACCTTACTTCAAGAATATCATCATGATGTACATAATTTTAGCGTGTCGCTGATGCCCTCAATATTAATTTGCGGACAGTTTCGAGTATTGAAGTACGTTCTGAGAGAAACGAAAGTTTGAGTACGCCAGGGAAATCTAGGACTAAAAAAAACCCAAGACAGTAGATCAGGATGATCATTTGAAAATGGAAGTACGCAATGTGATCTATACTATGTATGCAGATAGTAAGTGATTTCATTTGATACCTACCTTCAACTGACTATTTTACAGAAAAACACATCACTTAGAATTTTGAAAGAAGAACTCAGAACTAAACATATTCTTGATGCAAGTATAGGCACATTGAGCAAACTTCTCACAAATGTAGGATTCAAACATAAAAAAGAAGACAACAGACGGTTATTGGTTGAGAAGACGGACATATCTACAGGGTGTTTCATAGGTAAAGGGAAATATTTCAATGGTACATAGAGGTCACCAAGGTGGTTCTGAAAATACCATATTTGATAGGTCTTAGAGTCTTCATAACGGAGATACAGGGCGATTTATCGATTTCGAATAATTATTCATTCGTCTATAAGTATTGAACTACCCAGTATATTTTACTAAAATTTGGTATGGAGCTTATACTTGGGACGTTGAATTCATTCACCTATCGGGTGAAGTGAAAATCCAGGTTCGGCTTGAAGAAAAATTTACATTTATTCGAAATATTAAAATAACACACTGTATGTAATAATTGACAGAGTTCATCAAAGGAATCGTGAAGAGGAAGAAAAACTGAACTGGATTTGATGCTTTTTGTTTTCCCGCCACCAATTCTCATCGTAACAATCATAAACAGAAAGCTAAAAGTATGTCAATTTGAAGAGTATTGAAATTATGAAACCACTTTCAATTATGATTATTTGATATATTCTTGTTAAATGATTGTTCGAAAGAACTTACTCAGTCTCACAGTCTTTATAACAGAGATACAGGGTGAATTATCGGTTTCGAATAATTATTCACTCGTCCATATAAGTATTAGACTACCCATCGCAGTAATATTTTCTCAAATTCGGTATTGAGCTTACTTGGGACGATGGATTCATTGACCTATCAGGCAGAATGAAAATACAGGTTCAGCTTCAGGAAAAGTCTCATAGTCTTTATAACAGAGATAGTGAATTATCGAATTATAATTATTTGGTATTATTTCCATTCCGCCTGATAGGTTAATGAATCCATCGTCCCAAGTAAGCTACATACCTACCAAATTTGAGAAAATGTTACTGGGCAGTTTAAGACTTATGGAGACTGTGAGACTTAGTGAGTTCTTTCGAGCGATTTTTTGACTGAAATATCAAATTATCATAATTGACACTGGTTTCATAATTCCAATACTCTTCAAATTGAAATACTTCCAACTTTCTGTTTATGATTGTTACGATGAGAATTGGGAAAACAAAAAGCATCATACACAATTCAGTTTTTCCTCCTCTTCACAATTCTTTTGATGTACTGTGTTAATTATTGAATACAGTGTGTTATTTTAATATTTCTAATAAATGTAAATTTTTCCTGAAGCCGAACCTGGATTTTCACTCCGCCCGATAGGGGAATAAATTTAACATCCCAAGTAGAAGCTCCTTACCAAATTTTAGAAAAATATACTGGCTAGGTCAATAGATATAGACGAATGAATAATTATTCGAAATCGATAAATCGCCCTGTATCTCCGTTATGAAGACTCCAAGACCTATCAAATATGGTATTTTCAGAACCACCTTGGTGACCCCTATCTACCATTAAAATATTTCCCTTTACCTATGAAACACCCTGTATAATGAGAGCAGAGTTTTTCAGAAAGTTTTATGAAAATCGCAATTCTAGTAACCCTAGACAAATCGTCTTGTTAGATGAAACTTGGATATTTGCGAAAGGGAATAAGATGAGATCATGGGAAGATCAAAGTACAAAAAGCGTTCGTGAACCAGAAGGTAATGATGGGAAACGATTTATTGTACTTCATGCTGGCCATAGTGGTGGTTTTGTGGAAAATGCTGCATAGTAATATACCAAATACCCGAAACGACTCAACAGTGTTCTGCTTTGTCAGGATCACAGAATACCTCACAAAAGCATTAAATAGGTGTGTATCGGGCCACATACCAACCCATACGTATATACAGGGTGTCCGGAGATAAAACCGACAAGACTTGTGGAGTTATAGGGACTGTCAATATGATTGCAAAATGACATAAACCAATGTCCAAAACCGCTTCGTTATTGACATACAGAGTGATTTGTGGATTTTGACAAAAAATTCAATCCGCCATATCAAATACAGGGATTATCCGATTAGATTCAAATTTGGTACACGAATTACACTGAATAGCATCAACAAGTAGCCCTTTGATCGAAATCAATATCAGGACCGGATTGATATTTTTCCCCTATGTTGAGTTATTGTGAGAATAACTCACCCTGTATAATAATAACGGTAAAAATTTTATAGGAATTTGTTGAAAAATCTCTTGGCACTATCTTAGTTATTCCGTAATAAATTATTATTTTAATTTTTTTCTTTCAAAATTCAATTATTGTCGGATAAAGTACTATCAAAATTGGTAATATAATAAATATTAACGAAACCATGACATCAATATCGTTATTTTCTTCAATCAGTCCGTAAATCGTAGTAAAATAAAATACTCTCATTACCCGAAAAAACTGAAAAATAAATTCGTATCAGGACTGGAATGCGGTTTTCTATGATTATATTCCTGTAAGAATAGATGATCTAGTATAACAATGATCTGATCGCAGATTCGAAATGCACTGAGAAAAGTTAAAAAAAAATGATCGGATTGAACTTTCAAATAATAAATCCGTATCAGTACCTTATAATGTTCGTGCATAAAGAATACTAGGCTTGTGTCAAATTCAGAATTTCATTATGGAAAACCATTTTTCACCTGTCATCAGCGTTTGTTTTATTGGTGTTCATTCATTATTCCACTGTTTTTAGGATCAAATTTCTGAGAGTGTGCTTATGATGCCGTTTCATTTCACTTATGAAGAATACGCAAATATTCTATTTGTGTTTGGGCTTTAACTGGTGATGTTTACCTAAATTTCCTGGTCAATACTTGACCGGATCTATTGCAAGGTGTAAATACCTGAGGTATATGGTTTCAGCATGATGGTGCTAGACCTCACTTTTCAGTTCCAGTTAGAAACCATCTTGATGCCAATTACCCCAATAGATGGATTGGCCGTGGAGGTTCAGTAAATTGGCCACCGCTATCTCCTGATCTACCTAACTCAGCTAGATTATTTTTTATGAGGTCATTTAAAGTAAGAAGTTCATAATGAAGAAATTTTTTATGGGAAATTACTGTTGCATGTGTTAGTGTTAAAAATAACCCTCAAATAATTCGCAAGTCAGTGAATCATCTAATAGCACGCTCTCAAAAATGTATTGATGTTGGAGGGCTCTACTTCGAAAATGTTCTGTAATACTGGGTAGTGGAAGTTTTTCACGAATTCGTTACTTTTGTTATGTTCATTACAAACAGTTATTGTTCGTTGAATCGTTGTGTAGTATTCTCATAAATTCAAATTCATTAGTGAGCGAATATAATTTACGATAACTTCAATGTAATCCTTCTTTAACAGGTTCTTATACGATTTTTTTAGATTCCGAATCTACGATCAGATTATTGATAACTATTGATGTACTAGGTCAGCTAACATGACCAAACAAAACACTCATTCCAGTCCTGATACGAATTTATTCTTCAGTTTTTTCCAGTTATGAGAATATTTCATTTTACTCCGATTCATGAACTGATCGAAGAAAATAACGACATTTATGTCATGGTTTCGTAAATATGCGTACTTTATCCGACAATGATTGATTTTTCAATGAAAAATATCAAAATAATAATTAATTACGGAATAACTAAGATGGTGCCAGGAGATTCTTCAACAAATTCCTATACAATTTCCACCGTAGATTGCGAATCTGATTTGAAATTTTTGGTTATTATTATACAGGGTGAGTTATCCTAACAATAACTCAACATAAAGGAAAAATATTATTCCGGTCCTGATATTGGTTTCGATCAAAGGGCTACTTGTTGACGCTTTTCAGTGTAATTCGTGTACGAAATTTGAATCCAATCGGCTAATCCCTGGCGGATTGAATTTTTTGTCAAAATCCACAAATCACTCTGTATCTCAGTAACGAAGCCGTTTTGGACATTCGTTCATGGCATTTTGCAATCATATTGACAGTCCCTATAACCCCATGAGTTTTGTCGGTTTTATCTCCGGACACCCTGTATACATGCCAAAGTTCTGATACATGTTTTTGCTTTCAATAAATTGACGAATTAAAGAGTTTAAACTTGAAATGTATACCAATCCTATGTTTTATTGAATGTTTCTTAGTCAAAATTACCAGGAGTAGTGAATAAAAATGTTCTGAATATTATTATTTATTTTTACCCAATTTCTGAAACAGCACGGCACTGCTTCACTGGAACATATGACCTTGAATTGATTCGTTTCGTTTTTTGAAGTCGTGACGTACGCGCAAAGTAATATTATACAGACGGTACCTACCTACTATTCTGATCTATCAATTGATTTAACATATTCTTGAACGGTGTTTACCAACTTCAGAACATTGAATAATATAAATATACGTATATACAACTATACTATAAGCTGTTGCAAGGTCAATCACAATCTACGAACCTCGGCCTTGAGCGCTCCGTCCACCACGATCATGGCCTCCTTCCTGTTGCGCTCCACCGACACCGAATGCCACTCATCGTCGTTCAGCCTGTACGAAGTCTCCCTGATCACGGCCATCGGCCCTGACCCGGCCTGGTACTGGAACTGCAGCTGATTGCCGCCCACCAGACTCAACTATACAGAGGAAAATGAAAAATATGTCAATCCGTATCCCAACGGCATGGAAAATAGTAAAAATCTGATAAATGGCATCACCACAAATGATTTGAAACCAAATAAGGTTTTGAGTATGAAATGTATTTACAGGGTGAGTCATGACTAACCAGCCATAGCCTAATAGCGAATAGAGGAAGTCAAGGTGAGTTGATATATATGTGAGAAAATATATTTTGAGTATTCGTAACAGTGATACAGAGCATTATTTGAATTCGGGGCGAAACTTTGATGAACGTTATTTCAGGAACGTCTTGATGTTATCGTCTGAAATTTACCAGCAATTTACTTCCACTGACACACTACACGATGGCCCACTATAAAAAAAATCTAGAGCCGGACTTGGAAAACTCATTTTCTTTTTGAATGTCAAAATTTCGACTTTCTGAATCGAATTTTTCAAAAACTTTGATGATTTCGTACTGGGTATTTCATTTGAATAAATTTCTTGCATATCAGTGTATTATAAGACTCTAACTCTTTTCGATGGAAAATTCCAGGATCGGACTCACTTTTCTTGAAGAGACCTTTCAAAACATTGAAATAAGTACATTATTTTCCGAAATAAAACTCTTCTTGTAATGGGGATTCCTCTTTAGATACAATAAATGTTATTGATTGATTGTATATTAAAAAAACTCCAATACCTACCTCCTCTCCCTATCCTTCCTGGGTACGCACAATGTTCTTCGAACATTATAGGAATTTCTTTTCGTGTGCTCCAAGAGATAACAAAACATAAAAAAATATTGCTTAGGTTAAATATTTAGGTTACAAATTTTGAGGTAATATTGAATCAGCAAATCAAATTGTGAGTTTGGTGTTTTCATTATTCAGAAAACACTTCAGAAGAAGGTTGTGATGGATGTATGAAAATGGATTGAGATATGTATTTTCTCTCAACAGGATGGGGCACCTCAATATTACTCAAACAAGTGAGAGAATACCAATAGACAAATAATTCTCTAATCGCTGTATAAGCCGCCATCTTCGCAAGATGGTGGCTCCGGCGGAATATGTTGTCATTCAATCAGCTCTTGAGCCTAAACGGCTCTCTTTGCAGAAATATGCTCGGGACATTTCATGTAGAAAATGTCTTCATCTTCAATTATTCTGTCCTTATATTTTCTCGAAAAACGCACCATTTTGGAGATATTTTCAAAAAACCGTTTCTGAGCGCCATCTTGGCAAGATGGCGGCGCCGAAGGCATGTCTCGGAATGTGCATTTTGTGTTTGTTAGTTCTGGACACCCAAACCTAGATTAGATTAGATTTGGAATGGGGCCTTCGGGCTATCTGCCTCCACACTGCGACCTTTTCAGATCTATTGTGTCTGCCCTCAAAATCGATTAGAGTTCTTCGGCTAGCCCCGCCTTCTCTATGAGACTCCATAGGCTAGCTTTCAGATCTCCTGTGTATCTCTGGGCTCCTGGTTTTTCCTCACCCAGCGTAAGGAACCTTAGTCTTGACAAGCCCTCACAGTGGCAAAGTATGTGTACTGCTGTTTCTTCCTCTTCTTGACAGAACCTGCACAGCAGTTCTTCAGTCAGACCTATCGTACTCATGTGTTTGTTGAGCCTACAATGCCCTGTGAGAAGTCCCACTAGTATTCTAGTTGAACTTCGTTTCTGGCTTAGTAGATATTCTGTGAATGTTGGCGATGGTTTTTTAATAAACTCTTTTGCCTGTCTCATTCCTGGCGAGTTGTTCCACCATTCTTGAGATTCAGTTTGCATCCATAATTTGATACTAGTCTTTTGTATAGCTTTCGCAATACCACAGAAGGGTTCTGGGCCATTAAGAGCTTTGTTTGCTCCTGCTCGGGCAAGTGAGTCTGCCTCTTCATTTCCCTCGTACCCTGTATGTGCTGGTACCCATGCTAGAGTCAATCTGTTCTGACTGCCCAGTGCATTTAGGGTTTCTAAGCAGTCCCACCCAAACCTATAATCCTATAATCCTACAACTCCCAGAACTTCCGGACTTTTTTCCAAGTAAGCCTTATTTTGGATCCCCAATGATAATATTACCTTTATGTAGTCCGTGGGCCCGGTCGAGTGAAACAGCACGGCGTTGGACGAGGCGGTGCGGAACTCGAAGTAGATGTCGCCGCTGTGGCCCATATCGAAGGTGGGCAGGTTGATGGTGGAGTCGGGGATGCGGAAGGTCACCACGTTGTTGAACAGATCGTCGCCCTCGCAGACGAGCGGCCCGAGGGTGTAGCGGCCCTCTTTCTCGTCCAGGGCGCTGCCCGTGTCCCCGAAGCGCAGTTGCTTCACCTATCGAAAAACAAAAAAAAAATCCACTGAAATATTGTTGTTGTTGTTCTTTATTACCCCAAGAAACATATTTGTTTATAAAGAGAGAAACTCAAAGTCATTACCACAACTAGTTCATAAAATGAACGACAATGGTAGATAACGAGAGAAAAACAACTACTTTCCTGGCTATATGCCACGCAGAACATTGCATTACATCCTCCCGAAACCTATGCGATAGTTCGTATAAACGAATAAAATCGCAAGTGTTTCCTTCCTAAACGCTGAGCTGCGCTTAAGTGGTTCAGGAACGCTGACTACCTGCAGACCGGTTTCGAGCTCTTGGCTCTCATCAGTACAGGGCTGTCCCAGATAGCTTCTTGACCGCTATCAGGTGCGAACCTGGCCCAACGTAAACGCATCTCAGCATTTATACCATACGAGGCGTTCGACGTCTGCGAAATGAAAACGCGAACGCCACCTGGCAAGGAAAGAAACACTCCAAAACAAGATTCCATTTCAGGCGAAATGGGAGTGGCTGGTTGCCTGACTGGCGTATTTTCAACTAGGGAAAAAGCCAAATACTCAAAGTGGAATGCATTGGTCACAAAGAGAGAAACTCAAAGTCATTACCACAACTAGTTTATAAAATGAACGACAATGGTAGATAACGAGAGAAAAACAACTACTTTCCTCTAATTTCCTAATGAACTATGTCAATATAACATAATAATCAAAATAAAATCATTCCAAGTATTCAAATGAGAATAAATTGCTCCTTTTATAGTGTCATGAGTATATATTTTTTCATATTGACTTTGAATCTTGTTTCACCATCAATATGTTTCAAATCATAAGGTAATGAATTATATAAAATGATTCCGTTGTAGAATACTCATTGTTTGCCAATAATGGAGTTATATGGGTTTGCTATTAATGCATTCAAATGTCTCGTTTCATGAGTATGAATTGTATTTACTTCAGTAAAGTTGAAGTTGGATATTTTTTTTTCCTCACAAATTAAATAAAAGAACAAATTTTCATTTTATATAATGATGATAAATTCAACAGATTTTTTGGTTTGTAAAGATTATTAGTTGGTTCCAGGTAATGTGAATTGTAAATGCACTTAATTGTTTCATTTTGTAATTTCATAAATGGTTTCAAATGTGATATACTTGTGCTTCCCCAAATTGATATCAATGTAACTTTGAGTAAATCACGCAGGAATATATATTCTTCAAATATATGAGGAATGAAATTTCGAATTTTGTATAAAATGCCAGTAATTGGATTTAGCTTTTTTCTCAGATGATCTATATGTTTAGTCCACGATAATTGTTCATTAATATAAAGACCTAAGAATTTTGTAACATCTAAATATTTTATGGCTTTCTGGTCAAAAAATATTGTTGTTTTCGATAGATCAGTTTTTCATTTTGAAATATACATATACGTAGATTTGTCATAGTTAAAGAGTCAACTTATGAATTTGTTCAAACATCTGAGGCGATCCATCTTACAGTGGAGTGAAGGCAATAGGACAGGACAAAATTCTCACAGTCGACTCCACCAAAGCTATACTTTATTGTAAGCAATCTTACAGGGACATGTTTCGAAGCTTTGAAGCTTCATCATCAGCGTTATTGTTACATAGGAGTACTGTTCTGAAGGAAAAAAGTTATGTTTACATATTTATATTATTGAAAAATGTTTAAGAAAAATTATTAAAAAGTTGAATGGGGACCGCAATTATTGCGGAACCCCTTTGTTAAGGAACTTTAAATATCATGTTAGGTAGTATTCAGATAAAAATCTACAACAGTATTATCTGTTCATGCCGAACTCTTAAGAAGACAAGCTTGTCGCTGAAACCACAACAGTGGACGGTGCGCACTATGGGGCCATGTTAACCGAGTTTTTTCTGCCGCAAATGAACGAATTAGGACTGGAGGACATGAGATTCCAACAGGACGGAGCAACGGCACACCGTGCGCGAGCCACAACCGATATTCTGAAGGCGGCGTTCCCAGGTCACCTCATCTCTCGTTTTGGCCATTTGCACTGGCCCGCAAGATCGCCCGATTTAACCGTTTCCGACTTTTTTGTGGCGTTTTTGAAGTCCCGTGTTTACGTGAACAAGCCCGAGACCCTTGAAGGCCTCAAGAACAACATTCGACACGAGTGCGAGAATCTGTCGCCCGAAGTTCTCGCCGAAGTGATGAAAAATGCCATAAAACGAGCCCATATAACAATAAATGGGCGTGTACACCTTAGTAGAACTTTTAACTCAAACCATGTTTATAATGATCCTTTTTTACATAAATAATGATTGACGACATAATTCGATCGAAGAATTAACTGGAATGTTTCATTTTTGGACATAAATAATAGTACCATCTGAAAACGGACCCTCTTATGACGTAGAAACCTCATCTCGCCATAGTTAAAAGAAAATACCAAAAGCCCGACGGAGACTGATGCAACTGATATATCAATTCTTTCAACTGTGATCTCGCGCTAATTCACTCTGTCAGAAATCATGTATCATTCATCTGTGTCTGGAATAGTCTTGTTTCAGTATTAGGGTTTTGACGTCACTTCATCGCCTCGTTTTCAGAGGTCCGAAAAATCGGGGATTCCAATAATATTTTATAAAACGTAGGGAACCCACAGCAAGAAACGGTTTGCGGTGGTGAGCTAGTTTGGGTGAGTTCTATCGAATTATGAAATATTTTTTTTTGTGATATAAGCCCATTGTGCCGGCGCCAATTTGGCCGATATCATTTTCTCGACTTGACCAATAAAATTCTTAAGGTTCAAAAAACATAATCAAAAAACAGAATCGAAGCTTTTCATTCAGAATAAAAATGAGAGCCAAACAACATCGGTTTACTTCTTTTGGACCACCTTGTTTATGAAATAGCTTTTTTGGCTAGTTATTGTGGGATACCTTTGAATCCTGGTATTTCAGGTAAGTTGTTCTTCAGATGTAAATGTAATTGTTAACCTATTCAGAATGGTATGATGTCGGAATTTAGGTGTGATATAATTTCTTTATTAGTTGACATTTGTCTAATTCACTGTCAGGTATTTGATATCGGGTATTTCAAATGCGAACTGATTTTCACTTATAATTACACGAGAGCTTTTTTTTGTCGAAGTAAAGTTGACATGTAACAATAAGAATTTTGTTGCCTGCCAGTTTGACGAAAAGAACTGCTTCTGAAAAAATTACGAGTCCGTAGGACGAGTAATTTTTGTCATAATGACAAAATCACGCGGCTTGTGGGATTTTTCATACATGAATTAAATTGTCAATAAAAAACTCCAATGAAGAGTTTGCTGTATTGAAACCTCTTCAACACAGATATTTCAACCAATCGAAAACGTATTTTTGAAATGAGTGGAATGATCGCCCAAATCTGCCACACTCACACTAGGGTCTCGAGATCATACCCGTGTGTTCACCGAACACGCCCGATCGTTCCCTAAGCGGTGGGGAAACGTAAACGGGCAGCAGTAACTACGTTATGAATATTGGCGCGTGCCTGAATTATTTTGGAGTCAAAGGACCCCGCACTTTTTCTATATAAAAATGGCGTTCCGTCGAATTTCCCCAATTTTTGGTAAATGATAGTACTCGACATACTGATTGAATATGCCAAGTCCCAACTCAATCCTATGACTAGTTTACGAGATACAGGGTGTTGAAGTTGAAGAATACCTAATTTTTCTCGGCCTATATCTCTAAGATAGGACAAATGAATTCCAATTTTTCGGGAGCACGTAATAGTTATGCCCTTAGGCGCAAGAACTATATAGGTATTCGACCAAAACTGATTTTTATTACAGGGTGATTCTCATTTCAAATAATGTGTTTTTTTGAATATCTGAATATCAATGCTACAAATTGATAACAATTACAAAATGAGATTTATAGCCAAGTATGCTCTTCTTACATCAATTGAATTCGTAAAATATAATAATTATACATGGTGTTTCATTAATGCTGTTGATTGCATAATTGGTCTATCCTAAAGTTCATTGGGCCACCTCGTATTATCGGGTTGATTCCAGACATTCAAAATATTTTTGAAGGATGTATCCCAATGAGTTCCATGATATACAGAGTGATTCATCGATTGAAAAAATTGACAACCACGAAAAAATATTCAAAAACCACTATTTTTTTCATCACCCTCTAATTCGAAATTATTACCGTCGATGTAAGATTTTTTTCCACCAATATACTCAGTATGGATATTTCAATCAAATTGGGAATTTTCAGACCCATGCTATGACTAGTTTTTTTTATACATCGAATAATGTGAAAATAATTATGGAAAAGTAATTACATAATAACACGAAAAATTGCTCCGAATCGCAAAACTAGTAGTCACTAGTCAACTATGTCAAAAAATGTGATTTGTTCGTAAACAAAATCTAGTTGTCTTATTATAGGTCCGCTAGCAAAACATCTCGAAAATGTTTTTCAGAAAACATCAAACAAATCACAATATGCCCCCGAAAAAATCTCATCAACGACACAACTCATCAACGATCCCACTCATATAAACGTGCTAAAACTCATGAGCGTTCCAAGTCGACAGCGGTTTTTCCCAACTCAATCCTATGACTATACTTTTCGAAAAAAATATGAAACTAAACTTCCGCAAACGCCTAGTGCGCGTTAATATATTTTGCAACTCTCCTTTATCCAACCAACTTCCAATCTTTTGATCATACTGTATATTGTTGGAATCGAAGTTAGTATATGCACATCGGAAAGACACTAAAGTTGGAGTTTTGGTTATGTAGATATTCGTTACCGGGTTCAGTATAGACTTGAAAGAAAAATGGAATACAGGAACATCAGTAGGTACCGAGGAATCATCATTTATCCAACACATCAAAAATATAGTAAAATAATAATGAAACAATCTCGAAGCCTCTTTCTTCCACTCAATATCAATTCAGAATTGCAATCATAGATTTTGAAAAAATACATGAACCAACTC